AAAAAAAAAAAAAAAAAAAAAAAAAAAAGGACACTCAGCACAAAATCCAGCAATTGCAGAGAATGCCGCTGATAAACTAAAACTGATCAAACTCTGAAAACTAGAAACAAGCTCGAAAGTAGTTACCGAATACTTTCCACGGCCAATGGCTTCATAGATGTGGTACTGATTCATTCTCAGCTCTACCGGAGTTGCTAGGGTTTCAGATTACAAAATCGAGCGACCAAAAATACTCCTCGGCCAACAGAAACAGAAAGAGTGAGACTGAGATCAACAGACGATAGAGAACCGAACTTGATTTCTTGACGATCTACGATCAGTGGCAAAGATGAAGCAGAGAACTGGAATCTGCTTCTGCCGTTCGAAGAGATGAGAGAAGCTGTCACTGGGAAATGAGCGGGAACACTCGGATATTGAAATTGCAATCAAATAATTAAAAAAAGACAAAAAATAAATAAAAATTAAAATATTTAAAATAAAAACTGAACGTTAATGCTGAGGTGAGTGGGTGACGTGGCAATGTAATACGTTCAAATTTTTCAAACGGTCATGTGACTCGCGGTGGGGTGTATTTCGACCGTTGCATTTTTTTTAATTCATCAAATTCTAAAAGATTTTAGGGGGAAATCACATCTACCCGTTAAAATATTCAATTAATAAACGTAGTTTTTTTTTTTATTTAATTAATTCATATATTTGGCAAGTGATTTTTATTTGTTTTCAATATTATTTATTAAAATAAACTTAAAATTCAGTGAAATAACATTATTTTTATTTTTACCTACTAAATTAGTAAGATAAATTATAATATGTTTAATAACCAATTGATTTAATCATTTTTTTTTCTAATACAATTAATTTTTGCATCTTAAAATTAAAATTTTAATTGATAATTCAAATTGCGGTACACGAAAATGTTTAATTTTGTAAATATACATTTTAATTTTTTTAAATATTTTATTCACAAGTTCAATGAGACATCTTTAATTTTTTTTTTTTCAGTCTCTTAATATGTTTTAGATAATAATAATTAGCGTTTTTATCATAAGTTTAATGGAGTTGGTAAAATTTCAATGTTATATTAATAGATTTTCGAGTGTACATACAATAACGCATGCATGCATGCATGCTATCTCTTGGTTAGTGACGCGTCAACTAAAGCAATGGTCGCGAGGAGCAGAAACGACACAACGTGGCTCGTGTGAGTCACTTTGTGGGGCAGAAAACGAGGTAGCTAGCATGATTAAATGAATCAACTTGTCAACATTTGAGATAAAAACAACAAGAAATATAATAAGGGGGCGACATGACTCATGTACAACTGGGCTTCTCTTAGTTGCATACTTGAGAATGCGAGAATTACCGTCTATTTTTAAAATACTATTTTCACATGTAATTACATATAAATATGAAATGATAATTTTTTTTTAATATTAAATTGATCTAAGTATCATGATTTAATTACGGAACCTTAAAATTTTAATAATTACGATTATTATTTTGAGATTTTAAGAGATACCATTTCCATTTTTAGGAGAATAAATGAATTTTGGAAAAAAAATCCCACAAATGGGCCAACAAATTTCATGGGCTCGATAATAATTCCTCTTCAAATCCGCAAACGGGTCATCCCGACATGTCGGAATGGGCAGTTTCACATCTGGGCCCAAACCGACGACGTTTCAGTAAATGGGCCGAAACCCGATTTTTTTTCTCACGTGGGAAGCGTGTTTGGAAGACCATTTCCTTAATGCAGGTGGTAAAACACAGTTCCATCGTCCTGTCGAGGGCTTGGCAATTTCTTCAGAATCTAAAACCAGAGTTCTCCATGTAGTTCATTATCAGCTTCAAATTTCTTCGCGGATCTCGTATCAGGTGTTGTATGCGTTTTCTTCATCAGTCGTCTACGGAATTTCTGTACTCTTTCAAATTCATTTCCTGATTTGGAAGTCACTGCGCATTTGACAGAACACAATTTTCTTTTTCATGCTGTTTTCCCGACTAGATTTTTTCAGAATTATAGCGTTGTTTTAGCTCATATGTCTATTTTCCATGCTTTAAATTATATATAGTATTTGTAGGCTTCATTGCCACTGGTGAAACTTAAGCTGGATATGTATAGGTGGATTGTAATTTACTTGTAGTTATAGTATTATAGGTGCTGTTATTGGAAATGTTTAATGCAATTGTCTTCCGTGGTTTTTTAGAGGATGCAATTGTTTGCTTCAGGTGAAACTTTAGCTGGATAGATACAGAGCGTTCATTTCCCTTTTGGTTTACCAGTGAACTATATTTATTCTTGGATCACTTTGTTTTTGTTAGTGCCTATTTATTTAAGTTAAGTTTGTATTTTATATATTGCTGGACTTATCAAAATTTCATATTTTAGGTTGCTATCTTAGACAAGATGGCATCTTCACAAAATGTTGAGCTGGAAGCAGCGAAGTTTCTGCACAAACTCATTCAAGAATCTAGAGACGAGCCAGCAAAATTGGCTACAAAACTCTACGTGGTGTGTTAAGGATCGTTTACTTTTATTTTGTCTGCTCAATTAATGGCACGGAGAATTTTCATATTTATGATTTCATGCTTGTGAGAGTTTCAGATATTGCAACACATGAAATCAAGTGGGAAAGAACATTCCATGCCATATCAAGTAATTTCGAGGTAAAAAATCACCGTTCCATACTTAAGTAACCATTTTTCCTAACAATTGTTGCATCTTCTATTGGTTGTATTTTTCCACTATCAAACTTTCATGTGCCCTGATTCGGCTTTAAGACTAGCCAATCCAAAGCGATCAACCCAAGGCATAGGCTTGTTGTGGAAAGTCCTTTTCTTTCCGACCATATTTCAGATAGGAGAGCCTTCATTGCATTTGACCACAATATCTTAGATTTTGGCGCCAAGGGAGGGCCAACTAGCTAATGGAGAATGTCCTCCTTAAATGAATTGAAGAGCACCCACTGAACATTAATGACGGAAAATAATTTCCACCAGCATTGACTTGAGAAAGGGCAATAAAAAAAAGATATGTTGCAAAGCATCCATATTTGACATACAAAGAGGACAAATTGATGTGGATATGTAGTGCGAAAGAAGATTCCTTTATAGATACCTCATAACAATTCAATGAACCATTAAACATAACTCACATAAGAACATTGATGCATTTGGGACTTTTAGTCATTCATAAACCTGAATGAACTTCCTTAAGCATGGGTGATTATGCGGCCAAATGCTTAGAAAGAGATTTCACAGAAAACATACCCGAAGGATCAAGTGACCATTTTCTGGAATCCAATGATGCAACCACCTTCTTTCCAGCTAGACTTCCCAAAAGCTTTTGAAAATCTAAAATTTCATCATCCTTAAGTAGCCTACAGAATATAATATTCCATGAATGAGTATCTCCACCCCAATGGTAAAAAAATCGAACAAATGGGAAAGGAAGAAATTTTGAATAACCGGGGGAAAGAAGACTTCAAAGAACAGTTGCTAATTCATGCATCTAGCCAAAATAATATTCTTCTGCCATCACCTAGCTTGAAAGATGTGAAGGACTCAATTTGTTCCCATAGTTTGAAAATTTTGATCCATGGGCTTCCGAGACTTGTACCAAATTTCCCAGAAACATGCTATTGGTGGAGACTATTCCCATAAATACTTTGGACCACTTTGTGCCAAAAAGATTCTGGTTCATTCATAACTCTGCATCATGCAGCTCTCAATCATCAGCATGTTGACATGATTTGGCAAGTTTCTTGTCCAAAAAAGGTGAAGGTTTTCTCGTGGATCTTTTCTTTCGAGGGGTTGAATACTTGTGGTTGAATTCAAAGGATCCTTTGGAATATGAATCTTTTCCCAAATTGGTGGGTTCTTTGTAAAGATAGCGATCAAGGTCTAGCAAAGGATACAACACTGGGGTCTTATTAGTGAAGAGTCCAAACTCTACTGCAGAGAACTTCCTGAACAATTTTTTTCCCTTGTGAATTTTAACCTTCCTGGAAGTAAAAATAGGGCAGTTAGATAATGAAGGTTCACCGGTCAATGAAAAAGGATGTACAAGAAAATCCTTCTGAAGGACTTGGATCCAGAAACAAAGATCTTTCTCCTTGAACTAACTGAAAAAACCCCGATCAAGGACAAAAGAGGTATGATATCTGAATGTAGTGAAGATTATTTCTTGGGGGCATTGAAGTGATTATTTTTGGATTAGAAAACATTTGATTTTGAGGGGGCATGGGTGTATTGAAACTATCAAATCTTGAATAGAAAGGACTAAGATTGGGATTAAGCCTTCGAATTGGCTAAACTGGATTGTTCTTCATGGTGCTCTCTTTCAATTTCTCTTTGTAATCATACTCATTCTATTTTTTTTAAAATTCAAATTAGGAACTTTTTTGTTAGACTGTTTTTTGGGTAATTCACTGAACTTGGACAGATATAGAATTGAAAAGCTTTTGGGTTTCTTTGTGCTCAAAGAATTAGATTACGTCGGCAGGCCTGAGGTTTTTTTGTACGTTAATTGGCTACTTCGTTTGTAATTTGTCATTGTATCGATGAAAAGTCATCTTTCCCTTTTAAAATACACAAGCACAATACATGTGGTTTTGAATTGTCCTTCGGAACAATTAGTGATCAGAGGAATTTCTATAAAAAAAAATGGCAATTAAGTCATTACTCAGAGATTAAAGAAGATAATGCATTCAACATGATCTTAATCTTGGTGTTTGATTGTTTTTGGACAATGAGTTCCCTTAAGCAATGAGGTGCTAAGTAGCACTTGAATTATCTGTAATCTGTACTCTTTCTTTCAAATTTGGTTTATCTACAATTGAATTTCCCATCAAACCTTGATTGGCTACAATAAGTATTGGGGAATGTTACCATTACATGAATCTGGGAAATGTAAAAGGAACAAAACTGAAGAATCTTCAAGGATGCTCAAAGGGGTTACAAACTCTCTTGATAAGGTTGTTTGTGGCCCTCTGAATGAAGCAATCGTATTAAATCCTTTTGTAAACTACTTTGCAGCTGTTCACTAATTGGTGTTCTGTTTTGTAATACTTTTCTCACTGCCACCAGGTTGGATTTAAAAACATAACCTCCTGTTGTCATTTCTATTATTATGGTTTACTTTTTCATTTGTCACCTTTATTCACACCTCATCCATGAAGAAGCTCTATATTAATGCCAAATTTGGTTGCAAAACTGTTTCTAAAATTTTGTTTATTGTGTAATATGTGTTCTGTTGAGTTGTTGGTTGTGAATGGTTGCTTGTTGATGCATATTCTACTTCTTTACCGATTAAATGGTCACTGTTTTCATTGCCATGGTCTCTTTGGATTCATGTTCTCTTTGTTTCATTCTTGCTAACTAAACCTCTTTTATTTAGGGCCATGGAGACTGTCATCAATCAACATGGTCTTGATATTGAAGCTTTGAGGGCATCACGCCTTCCTCTAACTGGTGGAACTCAGATGGGTGATTCTTCAACTGCACAATATGCGGGTACAATGATATTACTATTTGGGTTGTTTAAGTGAATCTGGTTTGCAAGTGCACATGTTATTGTTTGTATTCTTGTCTACAAATGCACATGTTATTCTTTGTTCAGAATAAATTATCATAGAAATAGTTGCAGGTTCTTCCAGTGTCGCTGGTGCTGCTAAAGATTCCAAAATGGATATATCTGGAAGTGAGATGACCAAAAGTGGCCCACTTGCTTCAAGCAAGCCACCTGTTGGCCCAAGTAGTACAGATCACGATTATTATCCTGGATCCACAACCCATCGAAGTGGTCAATCTTTTGATCAAGAAAGTCCGTCTAGTTTGGATTCAAGGTCTGCCAACTCACAGTCACAAGAGAAGCATGATTCAGTGAATTGGGACAAGCAATTAAATGACAAGGATGGTAAGAAGGGCAGCAAGAAAAGGAAGAAGGTGGATACATCAGTTCTGGAACCATCTAGTGACAATACTCATCAACTTGATACACGCAGTTCACTGGTTAATCCTAGGAATGTAAAGACAAATAGGGTTGAATCACCGGCATATTTAGTTAAAGGAGGTATGTGCTTTTTATTTCAATAAGATTAGGCAATGGCCTATTGGGTTCCAAGTATTTTTTCTTTTTTCAAAAGTTTGTTGGAAATAGTGCTTGACCATCTAGGTTTATTTAGTCGTAGTGGAGAATTTTTATGTTCATCTAGGATGAACTACAGAGCATATAGTGTTGCCAGCTCATATTATCACTACCTCCAAGTGTCTTTGATAGCTTACTGATTCTTTGGTGTAGGCAATATTGATCAGACAAAATATGGACTAACAAAAGCTGCTGAAAAGCTTATTGACCCTCAAAGTTATTCTGTAAGCCGAGGCGATGGGATATCTACCTCCAGTGAAAAAGTTATGGAGTGTGAACTACCTATGTCTAGCACATCATCAGTTGATGCTACAAAGATGATCCAGGTTTTTAATAGTTTCCTTGATATCTCTCATTTCTTGGTCAAGAATAGTTTTTTTTTTTTTAAAAAAAAATTCACATTAATTAGTCTCATCTCTTTTTCCTCTATTTCTAACTTTTGTGTGACATTATGCCTTGGGTACAAATCTTGAAGTACTTCAATTTATGTTCTTCTTTTGCTTCTCCTTTACGGAATAGGTTTTGTTTGTTCTTTTTCTCATTTCTTTTCTTGAGATTGATTTGTGTTTTGAGTATCATTTGCCGATTTGAAATACATTAGGAATGTAACGTAGTAGGGTTGAATCTAGTATTGGATAGATTTCCTGTAATGACCACACTTCTTTAACTTACTAGCAACTTTTTCTTAAATCATTATTGCTCGCCTTAATTCTTTCCTCCACAGCTACACCAACCTTTGTCAAAATTTTATTTGCTAAATTGGAAGGTTTCAGTAATGACAACAGTCAAGTTCCTTGGGAGGCCCCTGTTAGTCAACATTTATGTTCGGAAGGGCAAAGATGGGGATTTACCCCATTGTAGCAGTCTGTTGGGTCAGTTAGTGGGTCTTTTTTGTTACTCTATTAATAGGTTTGTCAATCTATTAGTGGGCCAAGGCGTTTTGTGTTTGGCTAGGGAAAAGGGTCTCTGTGGTCTTTTGTGGTAAACCTTGGTTAAAGGAGAGTTTAGTCCTCTTGAATTGACTTGTGATCTTTTGTATGGCTTGCTTCTCATATTTTTTTGTATATTACTACCTTTTAAGGAAGATGCCTTACATTCTCCTCTAGGCTTGATTGAGTTCGATAGAAAAAATCAACCCCATGGATTTTTAATAAAAGTCCTCCTTTGTGTTCAATCCAAGACGGTGCGTTCTCTGTGAGCCAAGAGCATTTTGGCGTATTTTGGGAAAATTTCAAGAAAGGAAAGAAAGGAGTCGAAGCTGGGAGTTTGCGCAAGAAAAATCCAATGAATCATGGTTGAAGTTCACGGGTGAAGTTCAAGCAAGTTGAATTGATGGGGAAGACCAATTGCATGAAGAAAATGAAAATTAGTGTGATCAAGTAGAAGAAGAAAGAAGAGACACAAGTGGAAACAAAGAATAATGCAGCGTGATCCAGTGCTTTTTTGAATTTGGATAAACTTAGATCCAATACTTATCGTGTGGATCTTCAAGCTACTTTGAGTATCAGCCCTTCATTTAATGTGTTAGACTTGACACCTTACCATGCACTAGATGCTTTTTAGTTGGCTACTTGAAATTCAAGGATGAGTTTTATTTTGGGATGGGTAGATTTGATGTTGTATCTTTTACTAATCTTGTCATTCCGGGACATAATCTTATAGTTTTTGGCCAATCTTGGGAGATTCTCTACATTTCTGTAAGTTGTATTCCTTAAGAAGTTTCACTTTTAAACTATTACCCACTGTTATTAGATAAATTAGGTTGTAACTTTCAATCTTCAGCCTTATAATTATGGCTCAATGCCTTCGTTTGAAGCTAATGAAAGTTTGAGTAAAGTTTTGAAAGCTTAGTGCACCAAAAGCCTTGTTGGTAAAATGACTTTGGCATTTCCCCTTGAGCCTTATTCCTATTCGTGGAGGGTTATTGTGTGTAAGTATGAGTCTCACCTCGTTGAGTGGTTGTCAGTTGGGATTAAAGACACACATAAAAATTTGTCGAATGATATCTCCTTCGAGCTCCTTTTTTCCTCCCATTTAGAGGTTCGGAAAGGAATCCTAGTGATGTTTGGTCCCTTGTTAGATTTCGCTCTCTTTGGGTTTCAGTTATGAAGGCCTTTTGCTATCACTTGATAGGTCTTATCTTTCAAATCTTTTTTTAGTCGCCTCCCCTTTTATGGGCTTGTTTTTTTTTCTTATGCCTGTGTATTCTTTCATTGCTTCTTCATACAAAGATTGTTTTAACCAGATAAACAAATAAAATAGAACAATAGTAGTTTTCGAATTAGTTAATAAAGAATACGTTTTAAAAGCGCAATGCTTTGTTTAGTTGAAGCGAAGTGCTCCTTCCCCCTTTATTGTTGCTAAAACCTTTCCACATGTCTCAATGGGGCGAGACCTTTTTTTTATTGTAGGTTGCCTCCTTTTTTGTGGGCTTCTTTTTTGTATGCCTTTGTTTTCTTTCATTTTTTCTCGATGAAAGCTGGATTATTCATAAAAATATGACCTCATTGACATGTGGTTCTCATTGTTTATGCTTAAACAAAATTTGTGCTCCTGAAAGCACAACCACTACTTTGACTTTGGAAATAGCTTTATTTGGGAACTATACCAAGACTGTTTATGCATAATTTGATATTAACTTGTTCTCATGTTCTTAACAGGGCGCATGGCGGAATAATGCACCTGAAATGAATATGATACGCAATCCCGTTTCTAGAGAAGCAGGAAAGCTCCCTGTTTCTCAGGTTCCTACCTCTTCCCAATCTCGTTTGCCTTTCAAGGAACAACAATTAAAGCAACTTAGGGCTCAGTGCCTTGTGTTTTTGGCGTTCAGGTTGCCTATTCTTCTAAATCTGCAAATTCAATTAGAATAATATAATTATTGTTCTAGTAGGTTGTTTTGAATTCTATGTTTCATTGTTTCTGTTCAGAAATGGTTTAATGCCAAAGAAACTGCATCTTGAAATTGCCCTTGGGAATAATTTTCCGAAAGAAGGTAGACCACTTTACTGCTTTTTTATAATTTTTTTCAAAACAAAACTCTACTATATTACTATAAAACAGCAGTTTCTTAATAATTAGCTTGAATGGCAATGTAGAGGGGCTTCGCAAAGATGTTGATCCTAGAGGCATTGCTCAATCATTTAATGAGGCCAGAAGTACCACCGAAGTCATGATGGCATCAGGAAAATTGGATGCTGCAAGGGAAACAGGAATTGTGGCCCCAGGCGCCATATCTGTTGGAAGAATCTACGAGGCCGACTCCATGAAAGAAGTAGATAATAGGGGAATGGAGGATAAAAAGGGTGCACCATCTGATTATTTTGTTCAAGCAGAAGCAAGAAAGCCAGAGGCTGAAGTAATGCGGGAAAAAGCAATTTCCCAAACATGCTTGAGCTCTGCATCACATCCTTCTGACTTTTCAGGTGCAAGGGGGGTTTTAACTGTGAATAATCCTGTTGAGGATTTGGAGAATAGCAGTCTTCAAGCCACTGCTGCCGTGGGGATGAGTAAGCCACTAAACCCTGAAACAGTTAGCTGGACAGGAATTGGCAGCACAAATGAGCTTTCTAGGGGAAGTCTACCAGCCTTTGCTGGTCAGCATGAGCTGGTAGTTGATAGGAAGAATGACGTCTCTGCTCAGTTGCACACTGTTCGGAACAATAGTGGTTTGGGGAGTCAATATATTGATAGTCAGTCTTCATTTTCGATGGGAGAGCGGTGGAAACCTATCTCTGGGACATATGATCAATACCATGCTGCAATGCCCTCTAGAGATGCTAGTATGATCTCAAATCTTGCATCTCATGGTGAAGGTTTTTTTTTGTAGAACTTTAATCAAATCAGTTGAATGGTTATTATTGAATGTCATGAATTTTCATTTGTAGATGATATGAATGTGCCCGAATCCGAATCTAGATGCAACACAGAAGTGCAAAAAGTGGTATCTATTGATGGAGGGAAAAATAGCAGCCTAAATTCTATGGAACAAGAAGATGATGGTAAGTTAGTGCCATCTGATTTGCCGAAGTCTCCAAAGTACACCATGTCAGAGAAATGGATAATGGATCGGCAGAGAAAAAAACTCCTAAATGAGCAAAATTGGTTACTGAAACAACAAAAAACTGAGAGACGTATTGGCACTTGTTTTGATAAGTTAAAGGTTTGTGTGCAACGCAGTTTTTCATTCTCTATTTCTAGCTTCTTGCTGATTTTTTTCCTTTCTAATAACGGTAAACTATATTAGATCAAGAGTCATCAGTAGTTTTATTTTTTCATAGAAAAGAAAAAGAAAAAACTTTTTGTTTGTATGTTGAAACGTTTCAAAAGAGGTAGCAAATGAAGAGACCAAAACCCCAAAGTAACCCCCAATGATCCGTTTGGATTGTGGATGTTATATGATGGGTATGGGTATGGGTATTAAATATCTAGGAGTCAAAATCCTTGTTTTTTTTTTAATGAGAAACAGCCACCAGAATCATGGTGTTCTACAAGTTTCAACCATAACTATTACACGATCCAAAGGCCAAGAAGATTCAATAAGCGTTCGTTCTTCGTCTACAAGACTATTTAGAGCTTTGGAAGTTAATGTTTGTAAGGTTGAAGTGAAGTATGGGGTTGTCACAATATCACTGGATTGATAATTTCTTTTGTGACTTTATTTATTATTTTAATTTTCATAACTTCTTGTAGTGGACAATTAAGGGGTAGTGGGGATAACCAAACTTTTTGGCCATAACTTCTTTTAATAAGACATTTGTAAGAAGTGGGGATTTGAAGTGTTGGAGTTTCTTTTATGGAGAGGCTACAAATACCCACAAAATAATATGTAAAAGGAGGTTGAATGAAATTTCTCATAGAGTATTAATCACTCTCAAGCTTTATACTTCCTTTGTATTCTCGTGTTTAGAATGCATGTTTTTAAAACTTTCACTCTAGTCTGATCAACTAGATTGTCGAGAGTTAAAATCTTGAAGATAGGAACAACTTCTCATTTCTTCTTGATCATTGATCATTTTTTCAAGTAAATTTGGAGGTAAATCATATCAAACTCACTACAAAAAAAAACCACTATGCAACCTGGCTGGAGGATTCCTAGTTAGAAAAGAAAAGCTTATCACCGTGTGGATTGGGGCTTTCTTGATACAGTTTTGTACAAAAATGGTTTTCGGTTTAAAGGGAGAGTTTGGATTTGGAATTGCGTTCAATCGGTGAACTTCTCCATATTGGTCAACGGCAATCCAAGGGGGAAGATTTTTGCGATGAGAGGTCTTAGGCAATGTGATCCTATTTTGCCCTGTCTGTTTAATCTGGTAGTGGATGTTCTTAGTAGGTTAGTTTATGCTGATGTGGAGAAGGGTCTGGTGGATGGCTTTGTGGTGGGCATTGATGAAGTTTAGTTGTCGTACCTGGCGTTACTCTCTTTTTCAGTTTTGAGAAGGAGCACTCCTTTACAAATTTTAATTGCTTTCCATCTTTTTTTGAAGCTACATCAGGTTTAAGAATTGATCGTTGAAAAAACTCCACTTAGGTCACTTTGATGCGGTGCAAAGTAGTCAGTTTAGGGTTAATTAGAGACTTCTTTTGGAAAGGTAATAAGGAGAACGGTGTTATCATCCTTGTTAATTGGGAAACTACTTTTCTTCATCTCGTAATGGGAGGTTTGGGTATTGGTAATTTTGCCACTAAAAATAAAGCTCTCTTAGCTAAATGGAGCTGGAGATTTCTTATGGGAAATGAAGTTTTGTGGAGACAGGTGATTTCTTCTAAATATAATTGGAATGAGAATCAATGGTGGGCCTCTATCAAATGCTCTTGGTCGTTTAAAGGCCCATGGTCCCAAATCATGAAATGTATTCTCCTATCTGAGGAGTAGCACAAAATTAGAATGGGTTGTGGGGATAAAACCCATTTTTGGAAGGATAAATAGCCAATTGATTTTCCCTTCGTGTGGAATTCCTCTAGACCGTTTAGAATTGTGGTTACCAAGGACTTGATGGTTAACCAGTGCTGGTCTGATTCTCTTTTGCGTGGGATTTAAAGTTGAGAAGAAATCTTACTGATGTGGAGTTCAAAGAAAGGACAACTCTCTTAAACAAGCTTCATGCTTTTAGACCGAATAACTGGGATGATTTGAGAGTGTGGATGCTGGAAAACAATGGTTCCTTTTTGGTTAGATCCTTTTCTCCCAAGCTCACTGAGAAACAACAGCTTTGGACAAACAAAAATCTGATCTTTTATGGAAAGCATCATGCCCTAAAAAGGTCAAGGTTTTCTTGTGGATTTCTCTTTTGGAGAGGCTATACACTTGCTGCAGAATCCAAAGAATTCTTCGAAATTCTACACTTACCTCTAGTTGGCCTGCTTGATGCTGTTTGCCGGGAAAGGTTGTTAAATTTGTTAAATTTGCAGTGGTGTTGGCACTACAAAGCTTCAGATGCCCTTCTTCAACTTATTGATGTCCCTCAGTCTAAAGTTCTGGTGAAAATCCTATGGTCCAATGGTGTCTTTGCCCTCCTTGGAAACTATGGTTTGAAAGAAATTCTATAATTTTTTGTGGTCAAGAAACTAACAGAGACTTTCTTTTGGGATTTGGTTACTCTTTTTGCTTCTACTTGGTCTTGTACTTCTAAAGTCTTTTTAATTATAGTCAAACTCATATTTACACTAGTTAGGCATCTATTTTGTAACCCATTGGTGTGTGGGGATATCTTATCTCCTCCTCCTTTGGTTGATAACTTGAAAATTATTGCATTTGGAATCTGGTGGTGGAGAAGGTTTAGAAAGGTCAGAAACAGTTTTCATCATGGCAAAAAGGTTTTCTTCTCTAATTGGGGAAGACTGACATTGATTCAATCAGTATTGAGTGGAATCCTGTTATTCCTCTCCATTTTTAGGATGCACGTGTCGTTTATTTAGGACATTGAAAGGTTTATGGGAAAGGAGACTTGAGGGGAGGGCTCACTTAGTTAATTGGGAGGTTTTCTTGAAGCCTTGGGAGAGTGGAGGCTTAAGTATCAGAGATCTGTAGTTATGCAATGAGGCTCTCTTGGTGAAATGGTTGTGGTACTTCCGCTTGGAGCCTGATTCTTTGTGGCAGAGGATTATTGTGAGTTTAATGGTTCTTATAAGAGTTCCTCGTCTGCTATTGCCTCGGGTGTTCTTATGTTCTCTCAGTTTGTTAAATGCTTTATCGGGGATGGGTCAAATACTTATTTTTGGGAGGAGTTTTGAATGGGAGAGAAACCCATGCGTGCTTCGTTCCCTCATCTTATCATTTGTTTAATAAGAGGTTGCATTTGGTGGCTTCTATTTGTCTTCCTTCAATACCCTATCCTCTCTATCCCTTGGTTTTCGATTCCGCCTTATGATCGGGAGACAGGTGATGTGGTAAATCTTCAAGTATTTTGGGAAAGTAGATTTTGTTTGTGATTTTGGGCAACATTTAAGAGTTTGGCTTTTTTGTGTATTATGTCACATCAATGAAATGAACCAATTCTTTAAATTTTTTAGCCAAGTTTATACTCCAATTTTTTTCCAACTTTTCGTTTCTAGAAGCAAAAGATCTATTCATTGTTTTGATGCCAAAGTGGCCTGTAGTTAATACCTCCGGGATTTTTCTGGAACTTGCAGTAATGATTTTTCATTGATCTTGATATGGCACATTTAGTTCATTTCATATCTTGCTTATCATTTTCCTTTCCGAACTTTGCAGAATACTGTCAGCTCGTCGGAAGATATATCTGCAAAAACTAGAAGTGTAATAGAATTGAAAAAGCTTCAACTCTTGCAGCTTCAGCGCCGCCTCAGGAAGTAATATCTCTCTAGTCTTTCTCCTGAGTAGTTTCCTAGTTTTCACCAAGAGTTTTACAGCTACTGTAGCTTCTTTTACTAATCTTTTTTATGAATTTGGAAAATCTTGCAGTGATTTTCTTAATGATTTCTTCAAACCAATTTCAAATGAGATGGACCGCTTGAAATCTTTCAAGAAGTATAAACATGGTAGGAGGATTAAACAACTTGAGAAATATGAGCAGAGAATGAAGGAGGAGAGACAAAAGAGAATTCGGGAGAGGCAAAAGGAATTCTTTGGTGAGATAGAAGTTCACAAGTATGTGGTGCCCATCTAATTGAGTTTTTGTCTATACTTTCTTCAAATAAAACCTCATAGGTCTTAGTTCCATCAATGATAAACACATTATGATGGACTGAGGTTAAACGTTGAACAACTTTTGCTCACTGTCCGTTAACTTTTTTAATAGGGAAAGACTTGATGACACGTTTAAAGTTAAGAGAGAGAGGTGGAAGGGTTTCAATAAGTATGCGAAGGAGTTCCACAAAAGGAAGGAACGAATTCATCGTGAGAAGATTGACAGAATCCAGCGTGAGAAGATCAATCTCTTGAAGATCAACGATGTAGAGGGCTATCTTCGAATGGTGCAGGTTTGTCTTCTCTTTGATACTTACTGTAATCAAAGGGGAAATAATCAATTCTTCTTCATACTATTTATTCTTCATGCATTTTAACCGTGTACTGCTCGTGGTTTAAGTCTCTAATTTACAAGTAGTTAAAAATTTGTGTTATGTGAAATTTAAATAATCATTTCAAGAGTAAGTATCAGCTTGGTTTAATTCTTTTCTGGACTAAAGTCCCTTTCTTTTAAGTGAAATTCTTTTGTTGGTTAATATTTTTGGTTTCTTATTTGAAAAAGAAAAAGAAAAGGTAAAATCATTTCAAGAATGATTTTCTTATAAATGAAAAATATTAATAATAATAACTAATATTTATTTCATTTTTTCTTATAATTCTATTGTAAGTAATCGTTATACAAGGTTTACGATTAATCAGAAGGCAATCACCTTATTTGCAAATTAGAGATAATTATATTCCTATTATTGTTCTCATGCTCATATTTGTGGGTTGTTTTGTAAATGCACCTTTTCTCAAATTCATGCCAAGTGCGAAACCTTTTTGTAGTCCCCTTAGCTTGTTTGGGAAGCTCATCTCCATTTTTTTGTATCTCCCCTTCTAATAAAGTTTCTATTTTTTTTTTTTAAAAAAATTGGTTTGTTTAAACTCTGTGTTACTCATAAGTCCGTATTGAACATACAAGAATTTAATTATATAGCTATAGAATAAGCATAACCAAATAAGTCAACTAAAGAAGAATAAATAAAAAGAAACAGAGATCTGTAGGTGTTTTTCCTGATGCAAGTGTACAACTAATAAATGCTTTAAACAAGTTCCAAGTTGTGTACAAGTAATAAACATTGCCTTTTGCAAGAAGGAAAATGGAAAAATAGAAAGTGAAAAGAACAAAGCAATAGAGGTCAGTGTAGAGTCTTGTTATGAGTTGTTATCTTTTATCTATTAAAAATTAACATAATTATATTTAATACATAAAATAATTATCAATCTGACACAGAAATAAATTTAAAAAAATTCAGACATTGAGATTGTGGGAAATGAACTTAAAATTAGACACAAGTGTAGAGCTAAGAGCATCAAGTCAACATCTAATTGTTTTTACGCTAGTTTTGGGTTTAATCGGGATAAAAAAGGCCTGAAGAAAATTCAAAATTCTCCCTTGATGCAAAATCAGATCATGTGGTAGATTTTTATTACTCACACTAACATTTCACTTCATGTGCTAGGATGCAAAATCAGATCGTGTTAAGCAACTTCTCAAGGAGACTGAGAAATATCTTCAAAAGCTTGGATCCAAGCTACAGGTGGCAAAATCCATGGCAACCCGATTTGAGGACGATATGGATGATGGAGGAGATGTGAATGTTGCTGAAAAAAGTGAAGTTGCGATTGAAAATGAAGATGAAAGTGATCAGGCTAAGGCAAGTGGTTCTCTTCTCACTTTCTTACATCAGTTTTTGTTTCATTCACTAATTATATTGACTTTCTTCTCACAGCATTATTTGGAAAGTAACGAGAAGTACTACCTGATGGCTCATAGGTGAGGGACAGTTCACGTTTTCTTCTTCCCCACCCCTTCCCCTAGACAACTTTTGGCTGGTGCTTGGAAATTTTGCTCTTATACTGCACCAGTTTGCATTATGTCTTGCTTGACAGAATCTCTTGATGTTTTGAGGATTCAAGTTGATAATTCTCATTAACAACTAGTTACCATTAATTCATTTCAAGTATCTTATATGAATAACCGTTTGCAGTGTAAAGGAAAGCATAGCTGAGCAGCCGTCTTGTCTTCAGGGAGGAAAGTTGAGGGAGTAAGTATCGTGGCTTTCCTATCATCCCATCCCTTTTAATTTAATCTTTGATTTTTATAAAATCTGAACGTGGTATGCTCCTATTTTTGGCAATATCTTCTCACACTTTAGTTCTTTGATTTTCTGAATTCATGATATTGGTAAGAACAATAAAAGGCAGTGCTTAGGCCATTCTGAGTTTCGTGTAAATGTGGCAATAAAAATTTTAGGTATCAGATGAATGGCCTTCGGTGGCTCGTTTCATTATATAACAACCATTTGAATGGAATTCTTGCTGATGAAATGGGGCTTGGAAAAACTGTTCAGGTACTGTACTCTCCTAAGCTGCCTTATATGAGCCTAGATCTAGCTTCTGTACATTCAATGTTACTAACAGGGAAAGTTCCAGGTAATTTCCCTAATCTGTTACTTGATGGAGACTAAGAATGACCGAGGTCCCTTTTTGGTGGTTGTGCCATCATCAGTTTTACCCGGATGGGAGTCGGAGATCAACTTCTGGGCCCCTAGTATCCTTAAAATTGTGTATTCTGGGCCTCCAGAAGAGCGGCGTAGATTATTCAAGTAATGATTTTCATAATCTTTTTTTCTTGATCCCTTGTTGGGTAATCCAGAAACTTACCTGGTTCTTATTCCAGGGAGAGAATTGTTCATCAGAAATTTAATGTACTTCTGACCACATACGAGTATCTGATGAACAAGCATGATAGGCCAAAACTGAGCAAAATTCATTGGCACTATATCATAATTGATGAAGGCCATCGCATAAAGAATGCTTCGTGCAAGTTGAATGCTGATCTGAAGCACTATAAGAGTTCTCACAGATTACTCTTGACTGGAACACCGCTACAGGTCACAGTCGTTAATGTTCTTCTCTTTTACAGCATAGGAGTGATTCCTTTAACCATATATTTAGGTCATGAACAACAGAACCAAGCCTTTTCCCTCCCTTGGTATCAAAAGAAATATAAGAAATGATTTTGACAAAATATTAAAGATTAAAACAATATGCAATCATAATGTTGTGTAGAGTGGGTTAGACTTGAAATTAGTGCATTGTAAACTTTTAATAGGGATACTGCTGGGAATTTAAACAAGAAGGAAGCATTTTATTCATATGTGAACTTAAAATTTACAGGTCTAGATTTATAACTACCTTCCTTTTAAGTTAAAATCCAATAAACTAAGACCATCTTACTTTAGAAAGTTCTATTTTTGCGAAAAAAATAAAAACAGAATTTGAAATAACTTTTGGTTTCATTTTTGAATCTCCTAATACCTGAGAGCAGAAACTGAGCATTCAAGTTATTATATTCTTAATGTCAAGTAGCAGTAGCCTAAACTCATTGTTTTTGTCCAAACTTCATTCAGCTTCGGTCCGTTATTTCATTCAACCTTCTGGCATCAATATTCTCTCATTCCTCATAGCCGAATGGTGCATTTGAGGTCTTCTTGAAAAAAAAGAAAAAAAATCCTGAATAATAATATCCATAAAACTATCCTTACTGCTCTTCCATTTGAGCAAATAAGTTTAGGCTACCTTACATTGTATTAAAGAACCGACTTTAATTTGTGGCCCATTGTAAAAAATGAAATGTACTCAGGAAATAACTAAAGCTAACATTAATGGAGAGAAACTCTTATATTGAACTGGAGTACACTTGTATACTATATTTATAATTTTCTTGTGTGTTTTGATAATTTGGTCCTTTGAACTTGTTGGCTTAATTTGAAATCCATTTTGTGCAGAACAACCTTGAGGAGCTGTGGGCATTACTGAACTTTTTGTTGCCAAATATTTTTAATTCATCGGAGGATTTTTCGCAGTGGTTCAACAAACCATTTGAGAGTAATGGTGATAATTCAGCTGACGAAGTAATTCCAAAATTCTGCGATTTCTCTTTGAAATTTCAGTTTCTTTTTCCTTTCTCTTAATTTTTTTTTTTTTACTTTTTTTTATGGACAAGGCCTTGCTTTCTGAAGAGGAAAATCTTTTGATCATAAATCGACTTCACCAAGTGCTTCGCCCGTTCGTTCTTCGGAGGCTTAAACACAAGGTTTCTTTGAACTAAAGCCTGTGCTCAGCAGCATCATTTTTGTCTTTATAAATATTCACTGTTTATTGGTGCTTGTTCGCCATCATTTTTTTGGGACAATCATTCCATTTTCTCATGCCTCCCCTTTCCAGAACTCTGCGATTTGTTATGATGTAATTGTAGTAAAAAAATCTTAGTATTTTTGGTCTAGTCTTATATGTCCAGTAGTTCAAATAAATCCAGAATTTGAAAATGCCACCCAATCTATCCTAGAAAAATAAATCTCTCACATGTGACACAATGAGTCGGGTTTTCTTCATGGCTAGATTATCCGTATACTGCTAATCAGAAATTCAGCATTAACATGTATGGAAGATTTTCAGAGCATTGTTTCCTTGGTATCGCGCATTTAGGTTCTTGTATAATTGTATTCTTTCTTGCAGGTGGAAAATGAACTGCCAGAAAAGATTGAAAGACTTGTAAGGTGCGAGGCTTCTGCATATCAGAAACTTTTGATGAGGAGAGTGGAGGAAAACCTTGGATCGATAGGAAGTACAAAGGTTCCTTCACTATATTTCTTTTTCTACATACTTTTCAAGAAGAAATTTGGCGTTCTGTCTACTAAGATAATTCAATTGTTACCTACACTCTCACTTATTCTCTCTCCAGGTCCGATCAGTGCATAACTCGGTGATGGAGCTGCGTAATATTTGTAATCATCCGTATCTAAGCCAACTTCATGCAGAGGAGGCATGTCTTTCTTTTCTGTTAATGCAATTTATTTATGGAATAGTTTTTGGATAAACAAATTGAGGGAAGGGTGAAGGTAGGATGTTCCCCCCCACCCCAATACCTTGTATGTTTGATCTGTTTTATCCTTACATTCTTTGCATTTTAACAGCGCACAACCTAGAGTTGGAAACTTAACTACCCTATTTCCTGCTTGTTGGTATTTGTCCTTAAGAAACTTCTTTATTCTTGTCTAGGTTGATAATTTGATACCTAAGCATTACCTTCCACCAATTATAAGACTCTGTGGAAAGCTTGAGATGTTAGATAGAATATTACCAAAGCTAAAAGCAACTGATCATCGGGTAAGTACTTCTTAGATTAACAATATCAAGCTACAATGTTGATGAGAATTTATTGCTGTATGTTACCCTTTGTTTCTGCCACTTCACATTTTTTTGATCTTTTTTATTATACTCGTTAGCATCTATTCACTTTTCATTGTAATATATATTCCTTCCTTCTTGAATCTGATTCATTTATATTTATGATTAGTTTATTGTCTATGTCAATGCTGTCATTTCAGAACTGATTTTTTTTTCTCTGTTCGTCATCATGTATCCTAAATTTATAGATGTTTCAATATCACTAATTGACTTCTATTTTTGCAGGTTCTCTTCTTTTCCACCATGACTAGACTGCTCGATGTTATGGAGGAATATCTTCACTGGAAACAGTATCGATATCTACGATTGGATGGACATACATCTGGGGGTGATCGTGGTGCACTGATCGAATCGTTTAATCAGCAAAATTCTCCCTATTTTATATTCCTTCTCAGGTAACTTTCTGTCTGATCAGTTGTTTTATGAATTGTCTCGTCTCTGTTCTCAAATCACATGTTCTATAGTTACCCTACTAAGCTTTTTATGGTTTCAGCATTCGAGCTGGTGGTGTGGGAGTGAATCTCCAAGCTGCTGATACAGTGATTATCTTTGATACAGACTGGAACCCACAGGCATATATGAATGACTCTCATGATATTTATGTCAAGAATCTGATCTAGCTTTCATTCTAAATCTGGATTACTGTGCGTATGTTGTCAGGTTGATCTACAGGCACAGGCCAGGGCTCATAGGATTGGCCAGAAGAGGGACGTGCTTGTTCTTAGATTCGAAACAGTAAGTTTTCTGGTCATGTCTTGGTTCTTAGATTCGAAACAGTAAGTTTTCTGGTCATGTCTTGGAACTAAGTAATCTTATCAGCGTTGAAACAGTCCCAAGGTTTCATGATGGTGAAGGATCCTTTGGATTCAATGGAACCAACAAGGATCGGCATCATGATGGAGCCGCTAAATAACTGCTTCTATCATGTGATGTGGAATGAACGGACAAAAACATAGACCAAACCAAGTTGCATGAGTGCCAAAAAAAAAAAAGCTACAAGAAAGGGCTCCAATAATTTGTTCATAGAAAAGGAAAAAATCACAAAAGAAAATATTTATAAAATTAAAGATAGAGCCAAATATATCATAGAATATTTCAGTATCCAAAATGATTGGATTAACTGTGCTCGAACACATGTTCAATTTTGAGTCTGCGGGGTTCTTGACTAACATTTGATATCATTGATAATTGGAACTATAGTTCCTTCGTCACTAAAACCAATTGGAGAGCCTTTTTGTAATGAACTTCATTTTCGTTTTATACTCCTCATATCATGAAAGTTTTTGTTTCTTTGTTTCTTTTCTTCTTCTTTTGGTTTAGAAATTGAACTCTTAGTTGCTTGATTCAGTCTGATGGACTAATGTCCCATTATCTTATCATGGTTAGTAATTGAAATGTGGGTATTGTCATCCTATCATGTGTTTGTAATTGGGCACGTTCTGATCTTTCTTTCTTTTCTGGTCCACCCCATATCAAGGTTCAAACGGTGGAAGAACAAGTGCGAGCTGCTGCGGAGCATAAACTAGGCGTCGCTAACCAGAGTATTACAGCCGGTTTTTTTGACAACAATACAAGGTTGATTGCCCTCTCAAGAAAACCCATGTTTGTGTGAGGCACTAAATGGTTTTTCTCATTTACTGTACTGCAGTGCTGAAGATCGAAGGGAATATTTGGAATCTCTTCTACGCGAGTGTAAGAAAGAAGAAGCTGCACCTGTACTAGATGATGATGCTCTGAATGATCTCTTGGCACGCAGGTAGGCTGATTCTCATTGCTTGAAATTTTATACAGCTGATTATGTGACGCCCCAAAGGGAAATAAAGATCTTTCTTCTTGTGCATGCGATGGTTAGGTAAGAAACACAGTTTGTATTAACCATTGTCTCTATGTTCACAGTGAGTCAGAGATTGATGTGTTTGAAACGGTCGACAAAGAACGGCGAGAGTATGAGATGGTATGAAAATCAACACTCCTTCAGTCTTCTCTTTTACTCGTATTGTGTAAACTAACGGAGATATAGTATTTATGGAATGAACTTCTAAACATTAATTTTGCAGGCCACATGGAAGAAGCTGATACCTGGTCATGGAAGTTCTGATTCTGTTTCTTCCATGCCTTCACGTCTTGTAACATATGATGACCTGAAAGTATTCTATGAAACAATGAAGATAACTGAAGGCGTAACAAAAGCTGGAGAGGTTGCCCATGTAGGGGTAAAGAGGAAGAGTGATCCTGGAAGCCTTGACACCATACATTATGGGAGGGGGAAGCGAGCAAGAGAGGTCTGATTAGTGTTTTGTTACTTATGAATGTCATATGCCTGAACTCTTTTGGCTGTTGCTATGTTTTATTTTATTTTCATTAAACTCCCTATTTTAATAGGTGCGATCCTATGAGGAACAGTGGACTGAGGAGGAATTTGAAAAGATGTGCAAGGTCGACTCACCTGAATCCCCCAGGTCAAAGGAGTCTGTGGCAGGAGAACCATCAGGTAGTATTAGTGGATCTGTTGTAGCAGCTGTTTTGAAGACAGAAGTTTCTGCTTCTTCTCCTCTGCCTCCTATTCAGCCAATGCCTCAGCATCAAACACCACCTTCGAAGCGAGGTCGTGGAAGACCAAAACGATCGGGTGCCGATAAGTTGCCTGCTCCAGTGGTTCCTCCATCTCTTTCTATAACAGCCAAAGTGGAGACAGGGTTAGAAGGAGAAACTATTTCAAGCATTTCTAAAACTGGCAGTCTAGATTCTTTGCCTAGTCAAGGAATGACTGATCAACATGCTTCAGGGGCTGCACCAAGTTCTCAGTTAACTACCTCAGTGCCTTGTATGATTCCTGCCTCTGAATCACCTCCAGCTTGCTCCTCAGCACCAGTTCAAGTGAAAGGCCACGGTCGAAAAACTCAAACAGGACAAGAAGCTCCTCGAAGAAGAGGGAAAAAACAGGGGCTGGTACCACCTCCTGTTTCTGGCAGTCTATCCTCCTCCACAAACCCAGTGGCAGGTCAAGTTAATGTAGCAAACGACATCGTTTCTAATGCTTCTGCCACCCAGCTCCCCACTCATCTGCCAGGTTCTGCCCCTTCAAAACCTGTCACTGGACCTAATGATCAGCCTACCATTGGGGTTTCATCAAATTTGGAACCTAGTCCTGCTTTGCCTTCTGTGGATTCCATCTCTCAATTTGCCCCTCCTTCCAATTCACAACCTAGAGGACAAAATCGAAAGACTCAGAATGCTGCTGGAGCACCACGACGTAGAGGAAAGAAACAGGCAACAGCAACTCCTGCATTGCCTAACACCGTGGCTGGTTCTTGTCTAAGTTCAAATGAGGCTGCTGTTGATTCTTCTTCAAAAAAGGCTGCTGTTGTCACTACTACTAAAGAAGATACCGTCAGTCAGGTGACCAATATTACCTCTGAGGAATTGACCCAGAAACCTGATGGAATCACTATACAGGACGTGGAATCTACTAAACCAACAAATAATTCCAATCAGGGCAAGGAGACAGTGAGCTTATCAACTTCTGGTAGTACCGTGGGACCACAAGGTAAGTATTAGATAGACTTCAGCATGTGATCATTGTCTGTTATGTGTATCAATTTACTTTTATAGAACTTAGGCGTTCAAAATTTTATGCAGGGTCTACCGAACAGAATCAAAATACTGATTCACGTGGCATTTCTAATATGACCAAGGAGGCTTCTTCTGGAGATTGCACAGTCAAAGCAAGCCCCTCTGAGCATTTGAGTGGCGCTGGGGCTGCCCAGGACGCAACTGTAAGAAAAAATAGTGTCAATGAGACATTGAAAAGCCATAGTTTGCTGGACACACCTCATCCAGTTACATCAACACCAGAAACTGCAGTTCCGACATGTGGTCCTCCAGCTGTTTGTTTACCTAGTTCTGTTGCTGTGGAGATGAGTCCCAAAACTATAATAGATGTTGCTCCAGAGGCTGTTTCTAGTTCCCAGCCAATCCATACACTCCCATCAGTGGCTTCAACTTTGCAATCTCCCTCTCAATGTCCATCACCTGGACATGTGCAACCTAAACGGCAAGGTCGTAAAACTGCAAAAAACAAGGAAGAGCCCCCTCGGCGTAGGGGAAGAAAATCGGCCTCCTTCACTCCTGTCATTCTTGAGGATTCAGCTAGCAATGAAGCTAAAGGTTTGAATGTGCATGAGCAGCCAGGGCAATTTGGGGATTCAAGTGTTAAAGACACATGCCTAAAAGGTAAAACTGGGACTGAGAATCAAGTATCAACCAATGTTCAGAGTGTCGCAGGTGTTGCCCAAATTATAGAAACTGTGCATTCCCCGGGTCCAAAAAGAAAGGAGCAAGCACCCAAATCTTCCCAACACAAACAGCTATTGACATCATCAACAAAAATTGATGCTACTGGAGCCTTGGACAGGACCTCTGTATCAGGTCGTTATCAAACTGCAAACGTAAATGATGTTGCTCGAGTAATGAAGGAGGTCTTCTCTGGAACTTGCTTGCCGAAAGCTAAAGTTGGAGAGTCTTCTGGGAAAGAAAACAAGGATGCCCCTGCACCGCCTCTTTTGAGCAATCCGTCTGTGGAGGTGATAAAAAATGATAAATCAGAGGCTACTTTAGCTACAGTTTCGAATTCCAACATTCCAGTTGAGGCCCATGAAAAGGAATCTTTAGTTACAACTAGTGAAATAAGACCAGATTTTGCAAATGCTCCAGAAGAATGTAACATTTTGAATATCAATGATGGAAATTCCGAAAGTACGAAGGCCAATGTGGTAGATAAATTGGTTGAATCCAGAGAAACATCTGCCAGATGCTCAACTGTGGTAAGAGACGTCAGATCCATGTCTCCTTGTCTTCTTAGTACCGATCAAAATAAAAATAATATTTTCCAGAGATCAAGTCTTGAGGAGGGTAGTCTTGTTATTTCAGGGGACTCAATAAGTACGGTTGGTTCATCTGTACCTTCGTCATGTGATAAAAATCGTCCTTCAAAAATTGATACAAATTCGGGAGATAAATATAAAATTTCTTTGAAAGAACCTCTTAAATCTTCTTGTCTTCAGGTTGGTGGCTCTGGAATTTCATCATGCTCCAACGATGCTGACCATAATCCCCTGGATGCCTCACCTATTTCCTCAAGTCTTGGTGATTCCAGTGCATCAAAGGCTCTTAAGGTGATGGATGATGTATCGCCAAACGAAACAAACCCTGTTGGTGAAGTTCCCTCATCTTTGAATGATGGTGAAAATCACCCTGCTTCTTCGCTGCCTGTCCCTTCTGATAGCAGTCACACTAATATGATAACTGCTCCTTGTACGACTCAAATGGATATTAAGAACATGCCAGAGCTTCCTATGGAAGAGTCTCCTGCCGCAACTACTGTTGATAATACCAGAGAAAATGCAGAAATATCTGTCAACCAACCTTATCACAGTGAACTGTCTTCTGATATAAGATTGAAGACTCTTGACAGAGACATTATACCTTTTGTGAACTGTCCCAGTGAAGCGTCTTCTGATGTCACGAAAAAAACTCTTGACGATGAAAAAATACCTTCTGTGAAAGGCTTCTCAGAACCATCTGAATTTGATAATACAAGCCTTGAATGTCCTGCAAAATCGAGAATTGACTGTTCCCCTGAGAAGATAGGCACGGGTTCTGGCAAAGATGATAAGCCCAAATGTTCTGCTGAAGTTGCAGTTGAATTGATCGAAGCGTCTAACAACACAGAACTTGATCTCACAGGTGTTGAAACTTTAAGAGCAAGATCTCCTGGCCAAGATTGCCCCAGTCTATCTCCTGATACTGTGAATGAAATGGTGCCTGTTTGTGAAGCAGATAAGATGGAAGTGGATCTTAGACCTGTAGTTATTGTTGAAACCTTGACAGAGAATCCTATTCAAGACTGTTCTTGCATACCTCCAGTCGTGACAGGCGATTCCAGTTTGAATGAGTCGGTGCCTGACATGGAAGAGTCCAGGCCAGGTTCTCAGGAGAACAGTGGCAGCCAAAGTCTCTCTAGTCATCATGAAAATTGTGATCATTCAGGTGTTACAATATTTAAAGAGAGTTCGAGTGCACACATGTCAGGTGCTGAACTTGAAGTTCAAGGACGCCTTTCTGTAACTACCATGGATATTGAGAGTAAACATAATGAAGTTAATGATATCGCTCCCGTTCTTGAACAAACGGATGCTGCCACAAAGCAGGATGTTGACATTTTGCTGGGGAGGTCTAGTGGTTGTCTAGATCTTTCTAACACAGGTGCACCTGATATAGTGGAGCAAACATCGGCAAATAAATTAGAGCTTGCTTCAGAAGAGTTGCCACATTTTCCTTCATCTGACGATGGAATCGTTCAAGTCCATGAAGTTTCTACTGGAAAACCTGATGATTCAGATATAGCTAAATCTGATAGAGGTTCTTCTCCGGAGTTTGATCCGAAAACTGATGTTGAAGATCAGAAAGCACCAGAATTAAATGATAGTAGTAATTGTATTCCGGAGGGGAATTTGAATGTACCAGATAATGTGGAAAACAAAGTGGAAGACAATGTTCAATCTGTTAATCCTGAGGATGTTCCTGAGCCAATTCCTCTGATCCAGGATAGTGGACCTAACAAAACCGACAACCATGGTACGTTCCTCATGGATATGGACATCTCAAGAAATGACGATCTAGATGAATCAGATGGTGGTGGACTAATCCCTGCTGGTATTTCACCTTCAACAGCAGAGAGAGAAAATGAATCCAAAAGTTCTGATGCTATTGTTCAAATGGACGTTTCTGATGGAGAACGTGTACTAGAAGATACAACCGATAATATGGTCGTGCCATCACCTTCGGTGCAGGGAGAGGAAGAAAATTGTTCTTTGACGTCTGTGGTAAATCAAGTTGATGGTTTAGGGAACCTAGAGGAAACGAAAAATATCAGAGTTGATGCTAATCTTCAAGTGATTACGTCTCAGGATGATGTTATGATTTCAGCAAACCCTGTGCAAGAAAGTATTGCGCTACAGGAAGGAAAGATTGAGGGATCTGGTGAGATAAATCAAGGGTCTCCTATCGAGAAAAGGCAATCTGATCATCAAGTTGAGGACGTTCTTGTTGATCATATGGAAGAAGATAAATCTGGAAATTTGGCCGAACCTTTATCTTCCTCACAAGTTGAGGAAACAAATTTGATGTTGCCCAATACAACTTTAGATAATTCAGGTGACCAAACTAATGTACCTGTATCCTCATCCACAGTGACAGACACAGAAAATATTGGTTGTTCTTCAAAGGATGATCTGTATGACTGCACGGTCGCAGATTCAGTAAAAGCTCTCGACGATAGTGAACAATTACAAAACAAGCTATCAGAAGTTTCAGTTGTGCTTGCTTCATCCAACAGGAATGAGGACTCAACTCCAAGGGATCCCATCAGCTCTCCAATCTCTCTGGAGGGGCCACCAAGTGATCATCAAATAAGTAGTGACCATATGGTTGCAACCCAGGATAACATTGTTTTGTCAGAAAACATGTCATCTGTTGTGTTAGCCGAGGAAGACAAGCGGCAAACTTCCTCCAAGAAAACGTTTTCTGATAGTGCAGAGCCGTTGGAGGATTGCGAAGATTCTGGTAATAGAAATGACAAATTGGACGGAGCTCATGTCAACAAGGAACAGCTTCTAAGCATCACTGAAAACCTTGTCTCCATTGATCTTTCCGATCATCTTGTAGTATCAAAGAAGCAAGCTTTAGCTGTTGATCAGATTAATGTTCCTCAAACTGGGGAGTCTGTACCCATAAACGCAGTTGATACGTTAAACCAGCCCCCACCTCCAACAACCATGGAAGAAGAAAAGTTTGAAGCCTCATTTGACAGTGGTCGAATTCCTAGCCCACCGCCACTGAAAGACGTAAAAGGTTTTCAGGCTGAAACAGATTCAATGAATTCTTCTCAACCTGATAGGATTTCAGAAAAAAATATGTCAGGAGAAACAATTTTGCCTTCATCTCCTCCTGTGTTGGAGGTAGGAGAAGCTATAGTGCAACCTGGTGTGCAAGTTCAGATTGACGGAACGGATGCGTCTGAGGTTGGTCTGATTTAGATGGTTTTACTTGAAAGAAATTTATTTATTAATGATCTTCACCATTAAACAGGAAACGAACCTTACCGACCACCTGGTCAAAACTAAACTTCAAAAGTCGAGAAACGGTTGTTGCAACCAAAATGAAGACAGAACAATGCTGATGGTCCATGTACCCCGAACAACGATAAATAAAAAGATTCTAGCTAGATTATAAGGCCATTTGTGGTTTGGAAAAGTTGAGGAAGTCGGGATAGTCCGAAATCTTCACTTACTCGTGCTTTGTAGAATCTTAGATCTTTATAGGAGAATTACTGGCCTCATTTGTTTTTTGGATCTGCATATCAATTCGTTTACTTTTTTGGTCTTTATAGTAATGCAACTCTTGAATTTCAGGTGGGGGAGCCTTCTCTAAAGAGGGCTGTAACGGAAGTAGCCAGTCCTCCATCCTCTCTACCCGAAGAAGATAAAAGCTTGGAATGCACGCCAGTTTCGAGTCTGGCTGATAGTGCCATTGCAGTTTCAGGAACAGTTGTATGCGATGAAGCTGATGTATCCACAGAAAATGGAAGGTGTCTACCGGCTGGTGCCTCATCTGTTGTGCAATATCCGGCTGATATTGTTGCAGATGTAGAAATGGCCATGTCCGATCAAGCTGATGTTCCTCCAGTCTGCGACACCGTGCTGAGTTCGGCTGATAGTGCCACTGCAGTAGAAATGGACATATGTGATCAAGTTGATGTTCCTCCAGTTTGTGACGAGGTAAAGGGTTCAGAAGATACTGCTGCCATATGTGATCAAGTTGATGCTCCTCGAGTTGGTGAGGCGGTAAAGGGTTCAGAAGATACTGCTGCCATATGTGATCAAGTTGATGCTCCTCGAGTTTGTGAGGCGGTAAAGGGTTCAGAAGATACTGCTGCCATATGTGATCAAGTTGATGCTCCTCGAGTTTGTGAGGCAGTAAAGGGTTCAGAAGATACTGCTGCCATATGTGATCAAGTTGATGCTCCTCGAGTTTGTGAGGCGGTAAAGGGTTCAGAAGATACTGCTGCCATATGCGATCAAGTTGATGTTCCTCGAGTTTGTGACGCAGTAAAGAGTTCAGCTGATACTGCTCCCATATGTGATAAAGTTGATTCATCGCCTCCAGCTTCCGAGTTAGCAAAGGATCCAGCTGATAGCGCAACAGCATGTGATCAAGTTGATGTTCCTCCAACATTCAACACGGTGCAGGCTTCAACTGATAGCACCATTGCAGTTGCAGAAACTGCCATACGTGATCAAGTTGATGTTCCTCCAACATTCGACACGGTGCAGGCTCCAACTAATAGCACAATTGCAGTTGCAGAAACTGCCATACATGATCAAGTTGATGTTCCTCCAACATTCGACACAGTGCAGACTCCAACTGATAGCGCCATTGCAGTTGCAGAAACCACCATATGTGATCAAGTTCATGACTCGGTACCAGAAAATAAATCTGCAAATTTGGACCTGCCTCCTGGATGTTCAACAGAAGATGAAAGCGGGGAGCGGTCACCGGAAGAGACTCCAGTTATCAAGAATTCAGTTGAATCACCAAAGCAAAGTGAGTGAAGGTAGAATTCTTCTATACATTTTTTGTATTCCCCTGGTATCCGAGTTTTTTTCCGACAGGGGAGATCGTAGCTTCATTTTATACAGAATCCCTGCTATCAAAATTATGCCTTAGATATAATTATTATTCATGACATTTTCTGGTTCTATTGAGAACCCAGATACTGAACTGAACCACCAAACCTCCTCCACATCGTCCCTATACCTGTAATCTGGGTAAGTGTTGACAGAACTTACAATCAAGAAATTCTAACAAGTTTTCAATACTAGTACATATCTTGGCATTTGTATCTTCCTTTAACTGGGTTGGTGTACTAAAAAAAATAGGTTTAAACTCAACAATTTTATTTTTGATATTTGCATTTGGCTTTATTTTGATTTACTATTAGATTTTTCGTTAGTTTATGAAGTTCAGGACAGAAGATTTATTACATCTCTTGATTTCCTCAAAAGAAGAAAATTCAATCAAAATGATCAAGAGAAGTAGAGAAGTCAGTATCTAGTTTGTCAAAGAAATAGGTCGACCTGTATCTCCACGTATCGTTTAACGCCAAATTTAACAATTTTATTTCTGAACATTTGTAACACCAACATTGAGAGTGAAAGAGGAAAATGAGGGGAAAGGAAGACAAAAACACCTTTTCAACGTAGCAACACAAAATATACATATTTCTCCTTCCCAATATGATTTTTGTAAGCAAAATTGAAGACTTAAAGCATAGTTTATTTAGTACATAAATCTCTCATTATTATCTCAAAGGTAGATGATTCAACCAACTCTCAAAGGTAGACCATATGCAGATCCAGTTTTCATTATCGAAACACAACTGAAGATGCAATAAATTCCAAAGAGCAGAACTGAATCATTGCAGGATAAATTTAAATTCTAGTCACTGACGATTTTGTTTCTAGTTTTAATAATAAAACTTGGATATTTAAAAAAAGTTTAAGAACTGATATAAAATGGGATTACTGAACAATAACACAAAACTGGGGTAAACAAACAAGACAATATCCATAACAAGATTTGAGCATCCTAAACTTTCCAGATACAACCACTAGACATATACAAGAGTATAAACGAAATCCACTGAACCCCAAAAATCTAAATCTAGTAAAGGTTGTCAAGTAGAAGTCCACCAGCATGCACTCACATGAAGTTAACTACAACAGCAAGACTACACTCATTGTTCTTCAACCCACAACTCAAGTCCCGCCTCCCAACTTTCACATATAAATAAAATTTCCTTACAGAAGCTGCATAGCATGGAATAGCAAAGTTCATCTGGCCATAACTGAAGGCAGACTAACAAATCTCGAGGCCGATCCCGAAACACATCCATCAGCGAGGACTGCAGAAGCAACATGACAGGGTGTTAAATTCTTCAATTAACCAAAGGAAATTATTACTGGCTAAACACAATGAACACTATACTTTGAACCAGAAATGTTCGATAATGACAAATCAACGTACACAACTTTGCTGTCCCAAACTAAAACACTCTCAAATCTCATTCTGAGTTCATATTGAATTAAGCTTGAGCATTAGTAAATCGATGAAATATCTCCAAAGCATTTTGCTAAATTCTACCAGATCAAAATACAATCGAATAAATTCTTGAAAGAAAGGAGCAAAAAAACAAGATCATTGAAGAATGTCATTTCCTTCTTACCTCTTTAATCAGAAATGAGAAACTTGTCTTCCAGAGGACCAGAAAAAAGAATTTAAAAGGTAAAATACCTATAGGAACGTGAACGCGATCCAGAAGGACTGCGGCTAGCAGCCCTTGGACTCCTTGACCTACTGCGTGCAATGTCCACTGCACGAGGGCTCCGACCATTCTCCTTTGGAGTTGGAGATCGGCTGTAATCCCTTCTATCACGAGGGGAATGAGAACGTGAAATTGATCTAGATCGTGCAGGAGAGAGATACTCGTCCCTGGCCCCACGGCTCCTACATCAGCCACAACAATGGAAAAAATTAATGGAATAATAAATCAACAATTCAAACAGAAACGATTTCCATTCAGACTTAAAACAGCACAACACAACCAACTCTTTCTCTCTCACAGGAAAGAAAACCTGTCCAAGCAGTCTTCAAAGGCCCAATGAGGTACGTTCAACAGGTACTTATGATACTAACTATATCATACTTTTATAAGCACAATTTTCTATTAACATCATTTTCAAGACTGATCAACTAAAACATGACTTTTACCTGCACCATTTTCAGGTTTCCGAACAAAACTATGACAAGTAGATCCAAACACTGAGAATTATGCTCTATTAAGCTGTACTGGTTGATCAGCTTCTGACAAGTTCATAGCTCTCTTTGCCCCAACTTTCTAAAAATCACATTATCTTTTCTTGGACAATGTCACCATACCACAACCAGTAAAACTTTGGCTTTTTCTCCTTTGAAGATGATTTCTTTCTTTGGCCAACTATAAGCTCTAATCTTTCTTAACTGGACGGTATATGCAAAAGAAGATATCAAACTTACAAATCACTTTCTTGCTGATAAATCGTTGAGATTTGAAAGGGAGGAAAAAGGGGGCGAAAAACCAGAGATAAAATTTGTTTTTAAACTCTCACCAATCCTTAACTTCTGCTCACAAGAAAATTGTCAACAAACAAATAAAAAACATGCAACTAAGATAATTGAAAAGGTAATAGATTATACTCATGGAGAGGGTTCGATAGGTAAAGTAAGCAAGTGCCCATCACTTTATGATCGCTTTTCTTGTTAAACTTTATTAATCAACAAGTCTTTAAAGTCCCCCTTTACACTTTAATATCTGCATAAACAAGGAATTAAGTAGATTGTACACTTTGTCCTGCAATGCAACTCTGTACTATGTAGGGAGTAGAATATTTCACGTGCATCAAATCAAATATTAAATTTAAATCTTTTTGGTTAACCATGATAACATTCAAGCAAATGAAATAAAATTCTACATTTAAAGCATGGAGAACATCAAAAAAAATGAAAGTGTTGCTTAGATTTAATATATTGGGCTGATATTATAAACCTGATTGGGAAATGAAGATTAAAAGTGCCACTATTATTATTGGACTATAACACTAATATTTAGTCAGCAATTGAAACCACAGCAAAGTACCACTTAGATTTACTGACTAAACACATCACAGCATGACATAGGAACAAGGATAATTCATCCATTAGAAATGGATCGTGCTTCTTACAACTGACGCACCATTGATAACTTCAAGAAGTTTTTTGAACAAAACAGAACTCATGAGGTTCAGGTTGAGTAAATCGAAGTAAGCTGAGTTTATCGAAATATTTCTATAAAAATGATTTCCACCCAATGGCAGACAAAATCATTTTCGTTAGACTGAAAATCAAAACAATGAACATGTACTTCAATTGGAGGTTTGAATACTCTATAAGACAAGTGCCAAAATTCAAAATATTATGCAATGTTTCTCATCCTAAAAGAATGCTTTGACATGTTTAAGTACAAAATTATAGAGTTAGAAGAAGGCATGCACAGTTCACTTATCATCATAATAGGACCAACCAATATTTCAAAACACGGTATAGAAGTAAGGAGTAATGGAAACAGCAGGACAATAATGATTTTAGTCTTGCTGGTAGTAGAATAAGTATGACACAGATAAGATCCAACCTTGAGTCATGCCTGGCAGGTGAAGGTGAGCGTGAGTAAGCTGCAGTCAAATAGAAAAGGCATGTTGAGCATAGAACGAAGGTGTAATTACAAATTGCATCACAATGATGTTAATCAAACGTCAGCATCAACCCAATACAAATTTTTCTTTTCACGAAATCAGCAAAATAGAGAGAAAAAACCAAGATAAGTATTGACACTGACAATGATATCGTCGTCGCGGAGACCTTGCTGGAGAACGTCTTCTGCTGCTTCTGCCACTATATATGAGCACCGAGAAAAAGACTATCAATATATTAATTCAAAATTAAAAATAAAGGTTATGTGAAGAAGATAATCAGACCAAAGGATACTGCAAGATTAGAAGTTAGGAGGAAGGTCATAGAACCTTGAGCGTGAAGTCACACGCATTTCTTGTGGAGTCTTCCTGTTCTCCTCAGCAAACACAATTCGTATCTCCCGTCCACCTATAACCGTATGATTCAGTTGTTGTTTTGCTTCAGCTGCATCTTCTGCAAACCGAAACTTCACAAACCCAAACCCTCGGGGCTCCCTACAAATAGGCAATGAAGGGAATGATATCCTCGTCAGAGTGAGAGAACAAAGTAGATCATATCTATAATATTTCATAACAGAACATTAATAAACTTCCACAAATTCAAAACACGATAAATATAAACCCATTTCTGAACCAATGAAAACTAGAAAGGGCTGCCACATCTCACAAGTCAACAAACAACTTATATAAGAAGCAATAATAATTTTCAGATCCAAATATAATGCAAACCACTGCCAATTCAATTAATTTATGCTTTTTGGAATTTCTTAATTATCAGTTAAGAATGTTTGATTAATCCACCACACCTAAATGGTGTGAAAGTTATCTTATTTATAATCAAATAAATTACAAGGATATGGAAATAGTAATAAATGGAAAGATACCTAGGTAATAAGGCAAATATTAGATATTTGCCTTATAATAAAATTTCAAATATAATATATATGGTAAACTATAATTTATTAATAAATATCCTTAACACCCCACCGCAAGCTAAGCGTTGGATTTAAACGAACGTGAAGCTTGAATCTGAAAAATTCAAAGAGGTTGAGAAACACGTCTCGTGAAGATGTCAACAACCTGGTTCAAAGGAGGTGTAGAGAAACACTTTCTTGGCCATCGAAAATTGCTGAGGGATCGCCGCTCAGCGGCGATCCTGCCTTGGCTTCGGCGAGAATATGTCTAACCCATGAAGAGGGATTGTCGCTTAGCGACGATGCTGCCTTGGCTCTGGTGAGAATATGTCTAACCCCAAGAAGTAGAAGGGGAAACCTAGAGCAAGGGACAAAGACAATGTTGAAGCCGAAAGCGTCGCCACATTGGGCGAAGGAGTCAATGTTGGCAGGAAGGGCGGCAGCAACTTGGTTGGCGAATAGGCCAGTGCAGCACCCAGATTCTAAAGGTAAATATCTGCAAAAGGCTGATGGGCTTGTCGAGATTCCATATATTTCTGAAGAGAACACTAATGAGGATCCTGAGATTAGGGTTTCTGTGAAGGATGAAGGGTTGATTGGGAAGAAAATGAGAGAGACTATATTGGCCAAGGGGAAAACCGATTGGGTTGGAAAAGGTGAGGTTGTATGTACAGAGTATGACGAAAGGTGATTTAGAGGTCAATAGGGTGGAGCCGAAGAGTAATCAATCGGCTCCACCTGCGGCAGCCATGAAGACTGCCCCTGCGGCGTCAAAGCCAACAGGGGTGGTGGAGAAGAAGATTAGAGGATTCAAAAGCCATTGAAAAGAAAGGATCGAGGTTGTTAAACTGAGAGGGCTCTGATACCATAAGAATGTTTTATTAATCCACCACACCTAAATGGTGGAAGTTATCTTATTTATAATCAAATAAATTACAAGGATATAGAAATAACAATAAATGGAAAGATACCTCTGGTAATAAGGCAAATGTTAGATATTTGCCTTATAATAAAATATCAAATATAATATATATGGTAAACTATAATTTATTACTAAATATCCTTAACATCAATTATATTTAAACTAAATTCAAAAGATGGTTGAACTAAAGTGGTAATCACTGTCAATACAAGTAAACATATCATTTAACAAAAACAAATTCCTCATCTCTAGGATTAAGAGTGTGAACAAAGCTCAAGTTAATCAACAAATTTGCAGATTCCTTCCAAATGCAGAAATGTTACCGTTCATACTCTCATATTGATTTGTAAACAATCTTAGCCAAATAATTACATAATGGTAAAGGCAATTTAAACTTTGAAACTTCAACAGTGCTCTGAGATTCTGAACTCAGAACTTAATCTAAAAATAATATTAATTTTCTTAAATTTTTCTTTCTTAGCTAATATAGCAAAACTCTATTTTCTAGTGTGGAATGCCTGATAATTAGAGAAAGAAGTACCAGGAAATAATAAATCGGTTTCTTCAATACCAAGTGAGCACAAGTTAACATGAAAGCGACCATACCCAGTGTAGTAGTTTTTCGGAAGATACACATCCTTAACAGGACCAAAACGCTCGAACGGGATCCTAAGATCTTCTGGCCTGCATGAAATGCAACCAAAACCCTAAATTATTCCTCTTAATAATTCATACAATGTATAGACAACAGAAAACGAGAAAATAATACAATGTCGAGTGACTGCACACGTCTTGACAATAGACTACACGCAACGAATGCTCTTCTTGATAAATATTTATATAACTACAAATCAACATTCATACGGTAAGCCGTATATACCTCCTACCCAAAATTCAAAACTCTAGACAAATGCACATTTACATGTAAAACGCGAAAGAAAATGCGCCATCCAATTCGTCCATAAATCTACTAATAAATTCAGACATTGCCAATAACAGATGAAGCTCGAAGAAGAACATGAAATACCTAGCATCAAGGGGGAGATTACGCACGAGTAACCCAGAAGGAGCAGGAGAGCGACGGTCCCTGTGAGACCTGCTTTCGCGGTACCGGTCTCTAGGGTCGTCGTCGTACCGCTTCCGCCCTCGTGGTGGGGTTCGGCTACGCCGACGAGGGCTGTAACTTCTGCTCCGGCTTCGGTACCTCGCCATATTGGGTTGTTTGCGTCTCCTCGAGTACCTGCAAACGAAAATCACGCGAAAGAAGCAGAGAAAACCCTAACCCTAGGGAGATTTGGGAAAATGATTCGAATGTTTGGGAAGCGGAGAGGGAGATGAGAGCGCTATAGATAAATCATAACCTAAACCCTACGCTTCAAAGATTTAAACGTCCACCTATGGTCCGGTGAGATGTGGGATTAAGGCCCTTTTATTTTCTTAATTATCAAAATTTACCCATCATTATATCAAAATTACAAGTTCTGCCCGTTTTTACTTATAAAATCCAATTTCATTAAATTACAACTTTCCTCTCCAACACCTTATAATCGGAAGTTGCGCCCGAAATATGGAATCTGGATCCGTATCCTAATGATCTCGACATTCCCTTACAACACTTGTGACGTCGCAACTTCGATCTCGACACCTGATGATCGAAAGTTGTGCACGAGATTTAGAATCTGGATTTGACACCTGCATCTCGACATTCCCTTACATCCCCTGCGACATGGCAACTTCGATCTCGACACCTGATGATTGAAAGTTGTGCACGAGATTTAGAATCTAGATTTGGCACCTGCATCTCGACATTCCCTTACATCCCTTACGACATGGCAACTTTGATCTCAACCCCTTATGATCGGAAGTTGTGCCCGAAATTTGGAATCTGGATTCGATTCCTAATGACCTCGACATTCCCTTGTATTCCCTACGACATGGCAACTTTGATCACGATACCTGATGATCTGAAATTGTGTACGAAATTTAGAATTTGGATTCGGCACTTGCATATCGACATTCCCTTACATCCCCTACACACATGGCAACTTTGATCTTGACACCTGATGATTGGAAGTTGTGCACGAAATTTAGAATCTAGACTTGCCACCTGCATCTCGACGTTCCCTTACATCCCCTGCAACATGACAACTTTCATCTCGACACCTAATGATCGAAAGTTGTAACCGCAATTTAGAATCTAGATTCGGCACTTGATGATCTCGACATTCTCTTTTATCCCCTGCGACATGATCACGTTACCTATTATTCGATTCTTAATAGTAAAAACTATCCATACATACCAACATGAGTTGTTCCAGTATAATTTGTCTTCACTCATATGCATCCCAATAAAATTTATCGAAGGTTAACCGACATAGAATTGCTCAAAATAAAGCACTCTTAATCATTAATTTCCTATGAGCTAGTCACCGATGAGAAATATGTACCTTGTTGGTATAGGTAACGACTTTCAATTCTTTTAAACATTTCTTAGTTATCCTATCCTTATAATCTCTCTCATTTGAACATGTCTCAGGTCATTCACGCACTCCTCCCTTACTCGGGTGTCATAGTTTATCTGTACTTATTTATCTTCTAATGTGTATACGAAATCTATAATCCAATTATAATATAATGAGTTTACTAATGTTACTAAGTTCTAATATCGAGCGCACTTCCAAGAATAAATTTTTAAATTCGCTTTTAATCCAATTATTTATTTTTAAATTTTAAAACAAAAATACGTATATTTTTAAACACAAGTAACATTTAAGAGGTTGTGATTTGGATGAACTAAGAAAAAGAAAAAAATAATTAATTTTAACATTTTAATGTTTTTATATTTAAATAATTATTTAGTTGTCATTTTATTAATTTTTATCAAAGATTTACTGAATTTGTAATTATTTAGAGTTGATAAGTAGTATTTTTTAAATTAAATAAAATGGATATTTGATTATTTGACCTTTTATTGAGAGATAATATTTTAATCAATAAATTATGTTATCATATAGAAAGTATTACAAAATATTTTAAATATTTTTTTTAATAAAGTAATTTATTGAACTTGCTCTATATTATTTAAGTTCCACTCCAAAATATATTATTTGGATCCGTCTGCATTAATAAATAAATTAATATACACATACTTTAATTATTATTATTATTATTATTATTATTTGTTTAGATACGATTATATATACCTATACTTATTTTATTTTTATTTAATTATATAATTTTTTATTATTTATTTTTCACAACTCTTAAAAATATGTACATTTTTAAATTATATATTTAAATTGCGTTGTAAATTTTAATTAAAATATTTTACTGACTAAAATTTTAGTTTTTATTAAAAATAAAATTTTGAATAAAAATAACGTCAACTATTCAAACCTACCCCAAATTATAATTGGGTTTAATGTTTCGTTATTTAACTGAATAATTGAGTACGCTTCTAATATTTTTATTGGAGTTATTGAAACTGAAAATTAATTATATTTTTTTTAATTCATCTCGTAAGTATTTTAAAAAAATTGATAGGATCAAAATAAGAAAATAATGTTTTTAATATTTGTAATTCTGAAAAATAAAATAATTATGAAAAAGGCTATTTCTTCCTTTTTCTTTTGTTTGCACTCATAAAAAAAATTAAAAATAAATAAATAAATAAATAAAAAGAACAAATTAATAAACACGATAAAAAGCCAACATGTCGTCATACTTGCAACATTTTCCAATACTTTTGAATATTTATGAATAAATATTTCATCCTATAATTAAATTACCTTAAATACAAAAATGGTATATGACTTTATTTAAAAAAAATTATATCTTGGTCGGTTTAAAATATTACATAGAAATAAAATTTAATTATTACAAAAAAAAATTAATTTACTTTATTAAAGCCATTAATTAACTAGTATGCATAACATTAATTAAATCTCAATTTAATTATTTTTCAATAAAATTTGGGTCTATTATTTAAATTACAATATCATCGTGTCAACATGAAATGATTTGTGGGCCTTATAAAAAAAGGTGGGGCCCACCACATTGTCTGGCTTCTAATAAAAGCATAGAATGTAAGATAACGTGTGGTGTAGTACAACGTAATTTTCGTTCTCAATTAACCTATCATATTTGGATTTATTCCAGTACTATATTCTTTGCAAACCTTCCATAAAATAATTCATTAATTATATTATATGGTTTTTATTTGCTCAACTTTAGTGTTTTTTAAGGTTGGGTTTTATGATTTTTCAATTAATCGAATTTTGTAACATATTTATGTTTAAAACACCTCGAGTAAAATAAAAAACCGTATGCTTTGTCCCTGACAAAAACCTTAAATCGTGTTTTGTTTGAAGTTTTTTAGATAGGGTCAGGAATACTGAACCGATGACGAAGGTGAAAGATGCTCCAACGAGAAAGGAAAGGCTGCCTAACAACCGGTCGAATTGATTTCGTTCGACGATAAAAAAATGATCTACGCACTTTGGACGAGGAGCAACTATAAATCCCACACTCCTCCTTAGTAATTTTTGGCATACAGTAGACTGCATTCATCCCTCCTTTGACTGTGATCCTTCGAATTTCACAGTATTGGTCTAAGCTGAAGAAGTTCAAGAATGGTCCACCCCTTAAGCAACGAGGGTCGGGCACTGATCATAGACAAGTTAAAACCACCTGGTCTGCTTCAAACATCTACTTGTTTAATTTGTCGTGCGTTGCTCTCAATTTTGGTCTCTCTATCTATATCTATATTCAACACAATATTTAGAATGAGAACGTTCGAACATTTAACATTTTAGTCAACTATTCATTCTTCTTAACGAGTGGATTAGATTATTGGATTAGATTATTGGGGTTTTGCAATAAATTTTCAAAAGAAATAAAAAAATTAATACATTTTGGATAAGGATCTTCACCCTAATCATAGACTTTCCTCCTTAATTTTCATTAATATTTTATTATGCACCAAGGCCATTTAATTATTTTAATATATACTATCACATCAAGCTTAATTAGTCACGCTACCTACATGATAACATCTATTATAATATTCATTAATTACTCAAAGATTAATAAATTAGCGACAAATTCATCACATTATTAATCAATACAAATTTAAAGTTTTTATTTGTATTTTTAAATCTTTGTCATAGTTATATCCCAATATTTAGTTTTTATTTTTTATTTTTTTAATGTAATGGTTTGTTGATCCACCTTGTAACTAATATTGTCCCTTTTTATATTTATTGTATTTTAAGTGTTTCATTAACAAAAAAAATATTCAAAATTTAGGGTAAATATGTAATATTCAAAATTTATAGATAAAAAAAATCTTAATTTTTAATTTGGATAAAAGTTTAAAATGGGCGAAATTTGATAAATATTAAAAAAACGGAAATAAAAAGTTAAAATTAATTAAATCAGTAAAGAAACTTTTATATTAATACTTAAATCTCACTTTTTACTTTCCACTTTTCACCTTTTTTACTTTTTATCTTTAATAATTAATCGCGGTTCTGCAATCAGCGCTGTGGATATATTAGAGAGAGAGGAAGACCCATTTAATTGGAGAAAAATAATTAATTTTAATTTGTGTATTGTACCTCAAATCTAAAGCCCACTCTCATTTCTCCACGCGCTTTATTTTTTTTTTTTCTTTTTAAGTTTGTTTTATTTTCCAAACAAATTACATTAGATTAAAAAAATTACGAATTAAATATTTAAAAGTGATTTGATAAACTAAATTTGTACTTAAAAAAAAAAAAATCTTCTGACTCGTAATAGCGCGTGGACGGAGAATAATTTTTTCCATTTCCATTATAAAATTAAACAAAATTAAATAAAATTCTAAAACTCTCTCTCTCTCTAAGAGGGGGGCCCACCGGGAGAGAGTAACAGAGAGACATCTCACCCTCCAGCTTGACCTGCGGAGCTGCTGTCCCTTTTCCGCCACCTTTTCCAACGCCATTCCCAACCACCGTCTCCCCCCGTCTTCCATTTTCTAGGGCACGTACTTCCTCTTCAATGGATAATTCTCCTCCGTCGCCGTTGCCGCAGCCCTTGCACGATGGCGCCGGAATGAACCTCCAACTCCCCATGCCCGACGTCTCCTCCACCCCACTCTGGGACTTGGGGGATCTCCTCGACCTCGCTGCAGATGATCAGTTTTCCTTCTCTTTGGAGCAGGACAATCTGCCCTCGGCCTCCTCTCATTACCTCGAGATTCAATCCCAGACTTCCCTTCCTTTCAATTCGGACCGAATTCGGAAGCGCGACCCGAGGTTGACCTGCTCGAATTTCTTGGCCGGGCGGGTTCCTTGTGCTTGTCCCGAGATTGACGCGATGCTTGAGGAGGAAGCAGCTGCCACGCCTGGTAAAAAGCGGGCTAGGACGGCGCGTGCTACGGCTGGAATTGTTCGGTGCCAAGTACCGGGGTGTGAGGTCGATATTAGCGAGCTTAAAGGTTATCATAGAAGGCATAGGGTTTGTCTTCGTTGCGCAAACGCTACTGCTGTGGTGCTCGATGGAGAGACTAAAAGATATTGCCAGCAGTGTGGCAAGTAAGTTGAGTTCGCGTGTTTCGATATTTGCTGGTTTTTTCGTTCATTTTCAAGTTAATTCTGTTTTCTTTCGGTGCTTACCGATCAATTCTTGCTGATTTTGCATCTTGTTCAAGTGCCGATGCTACTAGATTGTGTAAAGTGCACATTCTAACCCTCTTACTTCGATGGCATTGTATGCCCTTTAAATTGTTTCCTCAATCATGGGAGTGCCGATCCTATATGATGCCGAGTGCGTGGTTTCCTTTTCCCCCCCTTTCTGGTGCATCACATGTTTATGTCGAAATATAAGTCTTTTGGAGACCCAAAACAATCAACGAAACATTTCTTTGCTGATGCTTCTTGGTTACTTCCAATTGCTTGGCAGGTTTCATGTTTTATCTGATTTTGATGAAGGCAAACGGAGTTGTCGAAGAAAATTAGAGCGCCACAACAATCGACGACGTAGGAAGCTTGTTGATTCTGCAGCTTCTATAGAAAGTGATCGATCAGGCGTGCCTGTGGAATATGTTTCTTGTGATGGTGATGTAGGTAAAGGTAATAATCTAAAACAGCTGCAGCAGCAGCAATGTGACGATTGCTGTACCATTGGATTTCTCTCACTGGCATGTATTCCTACAGATAACATTCTTTTCAATAACCAAACTGATCAGAAGGAAGTTGTGCATTTGGAGCCTGAACATGGGCTGGTAACCTCCACTGTCTGTTCAGCTCCTGACCTGCAGAATATGGATGACAGGTTAACTCTATTGGCAATGGGTGAAGCTCAAGTGGATGGAGGAAAAGATAATTCCAAATCTCTTACTTCATCCTACTGCGACAACAAAAGCACATATTCATCAATGGTGAATGCTTTAAAGATATTCCAGTCGTTTTCTATTTTCTGTTCGTATGAGGACATATGATGATTCCAAGTCTTTTTGTTACAGTGTCCAACAGGCCGAATATCATTCAAGCTCTATGATTGGAATCCTGCCGAGTTCCCTAGAAGACTTCGGCTCCAAGTATTTTCATCTTTACAGTTTAGTACTTAATGAGAATAGTTTTTTCAGCATAAGATATTATAATTTGGTTAATTTGAAATCGAATCCATTGCAGATATTTGAATGGTTGGCTAATATGCCTGTTGAGTTGGAGGGATATATTCGGCCTGGTTGCATAATTTTGACTGCATTTGTTGCAATGCCGAAGTTTATGTGGATAAAGGTGATTTTGAGTTGATTTTTTCAAATATAACGTTGGTTGTTACAATTTCGTAGCATGTTTACTTTCCTATATACTTTTGATTGTAATTATCAGTTTAAGGTCAGGCTTTTTACTCTTTTATGACTGCTAATTAATAATATCCTGTTACTGCTTCTGGATGTCTGCCCCTAGTCATAATTAGGTTGTCTTTAACTGGAATCCTTGTCCTCAGGGTTCCATGTTTCCTTTCAAACAATTATCTGAAAGTTAGTCCCTGAATTTTCTTAAACTAATTAATTTCTCAAACTACTGGCAGTTACTTGAAGATCCCACGACACACGTGCACAATTTTGTAGTTGCACGTGGAAGACCTCTTTGGGGGAGGGGCAACATGCTTGTTTATTTGAACAACATGATTTTTCGCCCTGTAGAAGGTGTGTCAACAATTTAGCATTTTTTTAATTCATCATGAATTTGAGCATATTTCATGATACATTCAACGATTCTGTTGTTGAAACTTGTTTTTTAACATGTAGATTGTCGACTCTTCTTGCAGGTTTTATTTATTTATTAATATTTTCTTGAGGATCCTTTTTTTTGTTTAATTTGTACAGGCAAAAGTGTAATAAAAATTGAGAGGGATATGCAGGCTCCAAGACTTCACTACATACATCCTACATGCTTTGAGGCTGGAAAACCCATGGAGTTTGTTGCTTGTGGAAGTCATTTGCGGCAACCAAAATTTAGGTATTACAATAATAGAATTATACTCCATATTCGTTTGAGCCCCAAAAAAATACCTCTACAGGTTTTTCCAGACATATCTATAGTATTATCATTTGGTTTTCAGTAAGGGGAAAGAGGATTAGCTACCAACTCACTTATAAATTTACCCTTCGATATTCTTGTATGCAACTCTCTTGCATTTGTACTGATATATCCATAAATCGAGATCATGCATGCTTCACATATTAACTTCTATATTCTTTTATCAATTTTTTAAGTTTTGTTTCTATTAAGGACATCTGTAGGTTTATATTTTTCTTCTTAATGATGTTGCTAACCAAAATTTTAATAAAAGTTTGGTTGCCTCAAGGGACGGGACAGCCTCTTTGGTTCAAGTTCCATGGATTTGGCTTCCAAACGAATCTTTTGGTAAACTTTAAAGAAAAAACTCTTCAAAGTCTCCCAGTTCTAAAGTATCAGTTGGAGTGAGGTCCGGACGTTTGTATTGTCTGAAAAGATACTTTTTAATCTTTTTTCCTAGTGCTGGGAGGTAGCTTCGTTCTTTTGAAGTCAATGAATTTTCTGGCGTACTGTATTTTTTGCCTTTCTAAACCAATGGATATAATCATATTAACCTTAAATGTACTAGGTTTTGTGCTAAGCCAGTTAATGAAAGGCCAAATGGATATTGGAAGTGAGAAATTGCATGCTCGTACTTATGCCTGGAAGAAGTTTTATGTTCTGTATACTGTGGAGTTTCTGAGGTCCACTGTATCTATGCTGAAGAAAAGGGTCCTTGACTTGCCGAATAAAATTTGCTATTCATGCTGATAGAAGTTATCTATGCTCGCAGGTCTCTTGTATCTTTTGCTGGAAAGTATCTTTCGCACAATCATTCTTTCGTTCTTTCCCATTGTCAAAAAGAAGGTGATGATGCTAAGTGGAGCGACCACCAGTTGGTCAAGATATATATACCCCACACAGACCATGATCTTTTTGGCCCTGCATTTGTTGAGGCATGTATATATTTTCCATCCCATGTTCTTTGATTAATTAGTCTCACCTGCCCCTGCTACCCTCCTCAAGCATAAATAAAGTAAGATGAAAATAAGTTTTAAAAACAATTATCTGAATGTATTGTCATGAGATAAGTGTTTTGTGAACAATTTTAAGGAAACAGAAACTTCATCAAGTTATTTGAACCAAATTAAATTTAGACTTCTTGACATGGTAATAGACTAAGAAATGGGAATATTGGTTGTATCCTGTCTTCCAATATGTTTATTTTTTTATCTTCCTCTCATAGTTTTTTGTAAATACCGTGTAGGTGGAGAATCATTCAGGCTTGTCAAATTTTATTCCTATTCTCATTGGGGATAGCGAAACTTGCTCTGAAATGAAGACTATACAGGAGCGGCTTGATATGTCTCTGCTTGTCGAAGCTACTGGTTCTTCACATGAATCTTGTGAACATTCTTCATTGAGACAAAAAGTACATTCAGAACTCATGATGGACATATCTTGGTTGCTTAAAAAGCCTTCGTCAGAGCATGTGCAGCATATTATGAATTCGTCACAAATTCAAAGATTCACTCGGTTGTTGAAATTTTTGATACGCAATGACTCAACTGTCATTTTAGGGAGAGTTTTAGAACATCTTAAGATTGTCATGGAAAATGTAGAATCAAATGTGGCGGTTAACGGCTTCAGTTATCCCGATTTAAGGTTTTTTGAGAAGTATTTGGATTCTGCAAGAGATGTTCTTCAACTGAATCTTCATAAAACTGGGAATTCAGTGCTACACTTCGGACATCCTAAGTCTAAAGGGGACCGTGTTTCTCAAAGCTGCTCCGAGAACAAATTGGTTTCTGTTGTTCCCGGGATTATACTGGTAAGATTTTCAATGTTTTCTGTAGGGTTTTTAATATTGAATTTGTTTTTCATTCTTATTTGATTTTTTCAGATTTATAATTTATTTTTTGAATTGAGTAATGGCGAACTTTTATACTAAAGCAAAGAACCAAGTACAAAAAGAGGAAACCAACAGCTAGCCAAGGGTGTGTTAAGATTCCTCCAATTGGCATTTGATTAAAAAAAAAAAAAGTTATAAATACTGAAGACATTATAAAAATTGCGTACTGTTATCTAACCGCCAGAGAAGCCTATTATTTTGAAGGATCGAGGAATGTCTTTGAATAGTTTGATGGAAGGATGTGAAATCCTGTATATCTCTATTGTAAAGTGGTCCATCAAGATGCTCCTTTCAAGTGCTGTGCTCTTGATTAAATTTAGAGAGAGACAACCGATTAGTTTATTAGTAGTTCCTCCTGCTTTTGGTTATGTTGCCTCTGCAGGATTTTTTACTGGCCCGCGTCGAAGTCACAGCGAAGGCACCGACAATCATTACAGATATGATACAGACCATAGTGGTCTTGTCAAATTCCTTTCTACCTACAGGGAGGGAGTAAGCCCCAAAAGTGGAGTTCTCTCTGCACATGATTTTGAGAGATAGATTCCCAGATCTATGAATATATTCCAACCTGGATTAAGGGCTTGGAACTATTAATTTAGACCCTATTGCAGGGAGGGGTGATTGACTATGGATGTTATTCCTCACCCCAAATTTTATTTTCTTAGGTCTTTTGCTTATTTGAGTTTTTCGAGGATCGAGTAGTTTAGGTATTTTGACACCAGTTTTGCATTCTTTTAGACTCTTCTTTCTTGGTAAAAAATTGCCTGTGACAAAATTTAATAATGGTCCTTACCACGTTAAATCACCCCGAAAATTTGAACTATCAGATACCTCCTAGGACAGTAATGGAATCCTATTGCGAGCTTCAAACTCGACCTGTAAATTTTTTTTTTCCAAGGTGCTGCTGGTTGACTATATTCATCCTGGATCTTTGATAGGGATATTTCGGTCATATTTCTTCTGTTTGTTTTTCCTGCAGAAAATGGAGTCGAGAGAAAATGGCCATTTTCGAACAGTGACAGGTTCAACTTCCATTGGTAGTGTGGAAACAGTCCCCCTTTTAAACAAAAATCTTGGCAAGAAAATAACTGTTCAAGCCTTTACAGTGAAAGAAGAAAGCCGAAAGCAAGAACATTCAAGAAAGTCATGTGGTCTTCTATTCTCTGGGGCTCATTTTAGGCGTCAGACAACATTGTTTGCAGTTACCTTCGTTGCTGTTTGTTTTGGAATATGTGCAGCTTTAGTTCATTCTCACAAGGTTGGCGACTTTGCTGTTTCGATCCGTCGGTGCTTGATCGATAAGTTGTAGAACAAGAAGGATCTGAACTTGAAAATAACTCTTCTGGTCCATTCTTTTGTTCTGCTGAAAATTAGTTCAACTGCCCGCCCGCCCACCTGTGGCGTCCCCTTTCTCCAGCGAATGCGAAATGGACGCCACGACCAAAACTTGGTCTCACTGCCAAGCCAAGAGGTTACCTACATAGTTTTGGTGTGTTTAGGGCAAAAGCCTCTGTATCATTCTATTGTTTGATACTGATATTACTGTTCTAAGTCTGGTCGATCGATGTGAATTTTATCCCGGTAACGACATGGAGTTCGTAGTCTGTTTTTGGTTGCATTGGATGCGGGATTCCTAAGTTTTGTACATTTGTATCTCACCTGAAGTAAGTTCAAGCAGATGCTGGACCTCTGTATTGTAATAATTTCCAGGTTTCACGGCTAAAATGAATTTCTCATTCATCACAGTCAAGACGGGTTTTCAATGCTTTCGAAGTCGATATTTCTACTTGTATTTCCATTAAACTCCATTTTCTTAGTACAACTACTTTAGGGTAGGAAGATTTAAACTTGCCTTCAAAAGGAGTACATGCCAATGACCATTGAGGTACACTCAAAAGTTTTTGATATCCTTTTGCTAATCGCAGGGCCTCAAACTACTAGGGTAATGGTACGATAGGTTCTATACACCTGTGTTATGGACATGTGATGGACTAAATGATCTATATGAAGACGGGATCGATGAAAATACAGATAGAAATATCGACATCGAGAGCATTGGAAACTCAATGAAGACGGGATCTATTTTGATATCCTTTTGCTAATCGCAGGGCCTCAAACTGCTAGGGTAATGGTACGATAGGTTCTATACACCTGTGTTATGGACATGTGATGGACTAAATGATCTATATGAAGACGGGATCGATGAAAATACAGATAGAAATATCGACATCGAGAGCATTGGAAACTCAATGAAGACGGGATCTATTTTGATATCCTTTTGCTAATCGCAGGGCCTCAAACTGCTAGGGTAATGGTACGATAGGTTCTATACACCTGTGTTATGGACATGTGATGGACTAAATGATCTATATGAAGACGGGATCGATGAAAATACAGATAGAAATATCGACATCGAGAGCATTGAAAACTCAATGAAGACGGGATCTATTTTGATATCCTTTTGCTAATCGCAGGGCCTCAAACTGCTAGGGTAATGGTACGATAGGTTCTATACACCTGTGTTATGGACATGTGATGGACTAAATGATCTATATGAAGACGGGATCGATGAAAATACAGATAGAAATATCGACATCGAGAGCATTGGAAACTCAATGAAGACGGGATCTATTTTGATATCCTTTTGCTAATCGCAGGGCCTCAAACTGCTAGGGTAATGGTACGATAGGTTCTATACACCTGTGTTATGGACATGTGATGGACTAAATGATCTATATGAAGACGGGATCGATGAAAATACAGGTAGAAATATCGACATCGAGAGTATTAGAAACTCAATGAGAATATATCAATTAAAACTCTAGAGATCTATTAGTCACAAAATTAATATCATTTTCAAATAATCAAATAAAACCAAAAAGAGGTCGGATTTAATTTTGGTTTGGGATTAAGTGAATAATTAGGTGTGTTTTGGGACCATAAAACATAGGAAAAGAAAGGCAACGAGGCAAATGATGAAGTTGGATGCTTTTCTAATTACATATCAATCTGACTCGGATCCTACTAATCAAATTGCAACATTCGCCTAATTTTTTTTTTCTCTCCATTATTTTCATTTTCCAATTTTAGCTAATTTCTTTGTGTTTACACACATTAATAACATAATAATCTCTTAAATCAAGTCGATAAGATCGCTATTAATAAAAAATAGTTCTATTTTTTTAATTTTTTCTAAAAAATACTTATGAATACCTTGAATTTTAAAAAGTTTCGTTAATAACGTTTCAAAAGAGTTTAAAAATATTCTTACGATATTTTTATTAGTTTAGGGTAAAATGGTAAATCTTAAAATATAGGACGAAAAAGTAATTCATTCCTAGAAGAAAAATAATTTTATTAATTTATAAAAAGAGATTATAAATAACAATATTATTATTCCTATAATTTCAAAAAATAAAAGAAAATAACAATATTTTAATGATTTCATCTCCAATCACTAAAAAAAATCATCCCTAGTCTCGCTCGCACCGGAATAAATTACCAAAATGAATTAAATAAAAATAAATACAAGTTGGCAGGAAGAACAATATTATGAAAAGATTATTCAGCCAATTGGAGATTAGGCTGAATCTTAATTAATTTAATTCCATTCAAACAAAACCAAATTAAACCGTTTTTCGAGTCCATAGATTTTGAATTTACATCTAACCGTCGTTAAAGAAAATATTGAAGAAAGTACCAATGACGTGACCGATAATTTTGAAAAGATTCAATTTTGTTCTTTAAATTTACTTACCGTCGTAATCTATTAGCTCAGATTTTTGAGTTTGGTTGTGATTTAACGTGATATTACAGTAGGGTTAGACCCATTAGAATCTTTGTCATGTCGTTTTCTCTCTCCTTCATTATTGATGAGCGGTGATTATTTAAATTGATTGAAAATAAACTTGCCCCGACATATTATTTAATAAAATTACAATATTACCCTTCTTCGTAAATAATTAAAAATTAATGTTGGGGTTAGATAAAAATTTAGACCTAGAACGACGTTTTATTTTAATTTCAAAAACATATTTTTTTAATGAAATTACAATATTACCCTTCTTTATTATAATTTTTTTTAACTTAATTTAGCTTCGATATCTTTGTTTGTCATGTGATCCCATCCGACCTTCACATGCTAGTTTTCATAATTGTAAGTTTAAAAGCAATGCTCATTCATTTTGTTGTTTAATCATTTGCTTGCTTTTAAACTTTTACACGTTTAAAAGCATAGCAATTGGGTTTCATATTTGAGATATTTCTTGAAAGCTTGAGATAGAGAAAGAGAGTCATCAATGGCGATTGAGGAGTGGAAGGAGCTTGAAAATGGAGATCATGGGGATTTGCAGAACCCATTGATGCCAACACAGGAAGAACAACAAGAAAATGGAAGCCTTCAAATGCTTTATCTTAGTACCTTCGCTGCTGTTTGTGGCTCGTTTCAATTCGGATCATGTGTAAGTTTAGCCTCCTCCTTCCTCTTTTTTCGCTTTCGTGTTTCGGTTTTGTGAGATTCTACATCGATTGGAGACGAGAACGATACATTTTTTTTAAAAGGGGTGGAAATCTCTATGTTTTAAAAACCCTTAGGGACAACCCAGAAGGCAAAGTCCAAATAAGATATTAGGGCAATGTGCTACCAAGGAGGCTGAACCTTGAAGAGGGGTGGATTGTGAGATCCTACCTCGGTTGGAGAGGGGAACGACGTATTCCTTTATAAGGGGTGTGGAAACCTCTCCCTAGTATACGTGTAGTCGATGAACTACAACAATTTAAAAAACCCATGAATCAAATCTCGATAAATGAATTTCTCTATCTCTCTTAAGTTTGTATTGCAACCTACGAACTTATGTCCCATAGGAGGAACCGTTGCATTATGATAGGTAGTTTTACACTATATCGGGTATACATATTATAAAACGTGTCTTAAACCCATGGCCAATCGTATCTTTACAAGTTTAATAGCTAAATAAAATATTATAGTGAGTTAGATAACAATTTTTTAAATTTAACCATCAATGATGAAAATGAAAATTAAGATTAAAAAAAAAAAAAAGAAGTATATTTTAAGTGGGCCGGAGGTAGAAACCATGAAAATGGCGGGAGGCCCAGTTATCGGCCCAAAAGTTCATTTGGGCCCAAATTAGAAAAGGATTGAAATTATAATTATTTATATAAGCTTTATAATATATTTTGAAAATGAAATAATTATGGGTGCCAGGTGGGATATTCAGCGCCAGCTCAAGCAGCAATAAGGGAAGATCTAAATTTGTCTCTATCTGAGGTTGGTTATTTTTCTTGTTATAATTAATGAAATTAAATAATATTATTAGTAAGTTTGAATAAATTTAATTAATTAAAATGGACAGTATTCTATGTTTGGTTCTATACTTACCATTGGAGCAATGTTTGGAGCTGTAACAAGTGGGAGAATTGCTGATTATATTGGTCGTAAAGGGGTAAGTCCTAATTTTACATAAAATAAAATAATTTTTTAAAAATAAAATTTAATTTTGTTTGGTAGGAAAAAAAAAAAAAAAATTATATTTGGATATTTTTTAAAATTCACAAAAGTATTAGACATAAAATTTTTTATTTCAAAAAATAAGTTTTTAAAAGCTATTTTTTAAAATTTGGTTTGATTTTTAGAGATATAATTAAAAAGTGGATAATAAAATAAAAAATTAATATTTACGAGGTTAAATTAAAAAAATTTAAAATAAAAAATAAAATAGATTATCAAACGGGATCGGGATCTAAATTATTATCATATGTTTTTATTTTTATATGACTGGCAGGCAATGAGAATGTCGGCTTATTTCTGTATAATAGGATGGATAGCAATTTACCTTTCGGAGGTATGTTTTCGTATATTTTTTTCTTAAGAATTTATAAAACGTCCTTTATTTTATAGTTTAATAATTATAGGAATAAAATATCAAAATATTAATCATAATTAATATCTTATTAAGTGAATTATTATTGTATATTTTTTAATAGGAATCTTTGTCATTGGACATTGGAAGGGTGCTCACAGGATATGGCATTGGAGTCTTCTCTTATGTGGTCATATTCTCATTACTCAATTTTAATTTTTTTTTCCTAATTTAAATGATAAATATTTTAAATCCTAAATCAACGAGTACGTTGCCAAACGTATAGGTCCCGATATTTATAGCTGAAATAGCTCCCAAAAATCTTCGAGGAAGGCTTACAACCCTAAATCAAGTAGGAATATCAAACTCTTCAATTTTATTCGAGATTTGTATTTGGTAGCATTTGTTGTCATCCGTTCATTTTTTATTAATTATTAATATGATATTTATTATAAAAAATATTTTTAATTTAAACAAAAAAAAGAAAATTTCCGATCGGTTTTCGATTAGTAATAAATGAAAAAATTTGATCGAGATATAAAAATGGAACCAAATACAACTCAAACTGAACCCAACCTGACTAGTGAAAACGAAACAGAACGTTCACATGGTTCATTATTTCGTTGAATTGGCTTGTTTTACAGCTATTGATTGTCACTGGTTCGTCAGTTGCTTTCTTACTCGGAACGATTGTAACATGGAGAACACTTGCTCTCTCAGGTAAAACTTATCCTTCATTAATGTTTTTCGATTTAGATACCGTTAACAAATATAATTTCCTTTCTATTCATTAAAAAAACACGAGAAATAAGAACAAGAAAATTACCAAACGGGCCAAAACTTTTTGTATTTACATTTCTGTCTTTCAAATTTAAATTTGGATGGAGGACTAAACTGCAATTTTGGGTTTGATTTGTAGGACTTATACCATGCACTACCCTTCTTGTGGTTCTGTTTTTTGTTCCGGAGTCCCCTAGATGGCTTGTAAGTCTTCTTCCTCCTCTTCTTCCGCCGCCACCGCCGCCACCGCCGCCACCGCCGCCGTCTTACTGTTTGTGTGTTTTAGGCAAAGGTTGGGCAAGAGAAGGAGTTTCTAAGTGCATTGCAGAGACTTAGGGGCAAAAATGCTGATATTTCAGCAGAAGCTGCTCAGATTCAAGTAATTTTATTTTAATTTTATTTATTTTCAATTTATTTACTTACCTTCAAAAGTCCACTTTTTAATCTATATATATTTCCAATTTTATAATAATTTAATCCATGCTATTTAAATTTTATATTATAACAAAAATTTAAATTCTAATTTTAATTTTCATTTCTTAATACAGAAATACAAGAATTTTCCAAATCCAACTTAAAATAAAAAAAAATAAAAAAATAAAATTTTAATTTTAAATTTTAGTTGAAAATTTGGATGAAAATTATTAGTAATATTAAAAAAATTAAATAGTTATTAAATGTGATTTATAAACTAACTAATTTAATATTTTTTTTATTTACAGAGTTATTATTATTATATATATTTTTTTTTTTCATGAAACTAACAACTTTGTTATTATATAATTATTTATTTTTAATTTTCAGAATTATATTGAAACTATGCAAAGTCTCCCCAAGACCAAGTTGGTTGATTTGTTTCAGAGCAGATATATTCGCCCGTTGATTGTGAGTAATATCTTATCATTTATATAAAATCCCATATTTATATATTTTTTTTATTTTTAAATTATAAATTCAATTCATATACTTGTGAGTAATATTATATATATATATTTATTTAAAAATGTAGAAAAAATTTATAAGTAAAATCTTCAAATGAAAATAAAATAAAAATTGCACGGGTATGAGAATTAAAATAGGAGGTATGGACGGCTTCCCGTCCCTACTCACCGCACACACATCTCTAAATTTGATAGATATCCATATTCTCGAGCATCTACAACTCAAGTATTGGAAGGTTTCAGATATTTTGATTTCAAAAAAATAAACAAATTAATTGTATTCGAAGAACCGTTAAATTTTTTAAAATTTAATGACTAAATAAATTATTTTTTCCGATTGACTTTTGACTTTTGGCACAGATTGGAGTGGGACTGATGGTGTTCCAACAATTTGGAGGGATCAACGGGATAGGTTTCTTCGCAAGTGAAACCTTTGCCTCAGCGGGTAATCTTAACGCTAATTACTCGACGTGATTATCGTTTTCGTAATCGTTAGCGTGATTATTATGACGATAACGATTATTATGAATATACGTGCAATTTTCAATTTATTTTATTTTTCATTTCCGATCGTTATCGAGATTTTTACGATTAATTGTTGTGTGAAATTGCAGGTCCATCAGCAGGCAAAATTGGAACCATTGCTTATGCTTGTATTCAGGTAGTTAAAAACTTTAAGACAAACCCTAATGTTGAGGTAATTTTGTCTTAAATTAATCTCAGTAATTAATTAACCATTAAACTTACAGGTACCAATTACCGTGGGTGGTGTAATTCTAATGGATAAATCTGGAAGAAGGCCACTTATTATGGTAATTTCCCATCTTATATATTATTGTTCTCATTCAAATATTTATATAAATAAATATTAAGAATAGAGAAGAAATTTGTTGACTTTTCTAGTTTGACTCACATTTTTACCTTTTTAACCTTTACTCTTTGAAATTACCACAGTTAAAGTTTAGTTAAGTATTTAAATTCGTGAAACTAAGTCGAACCATACATTGGGAAGACATTAGCCCGTATACATAGTCTTACGACTTTGTAGAGACCTATGTTTTCGATAAACAATTTTTTGGTTCGAGTCACTGTAACTTCTCTTATGAGTAGACACCTCTTCTCTCGAAGTTACGAGGTTATTTTGCCAAGTTTTAAAATTATTTTAACAAGATTCAAATAACCACGAGATATATATTTTGATACTTAAATTTTCACCGTTTTTTTTATGGTGATTTTTTAATAACGGTTGGATGTGAATTCGAAATCTGTATGTCTCTAATAATTACGAGATGTAAATTTGAACTATGGTAGCTCGAGATATGAATGAATGGTTTATTTTAAGGTATCTGCAGCTGGGACTTCTCTTGGTTGCTTCCTTACCGGAGCGTCTTTCTTTCTCAAGGCAAGTGATCATAATCTTCCGTTACATAACCAATCTTTCATAACGTAATCATTCTTCTTCAACTTTCATTTTCAACTTCAGAATCATGGTTTGCTGCTCGAGTTCGTGCCCGTGCTTGTGGTCGTCGGAGTGTTGGTACGACCGTGCTTCTTCTAACTAAATCTCTAAATCTCGAAGATTAAATATTAACGTCGTTGTGGTTTAAATTGGATGGTTAGATATTCATTGCATTTTTCTCAATTGGAATGGGAGCAGTTCCTTGGGTGATAATGTCGGAGGTAATCATCGAATTAAATGCATTAATTTCGTATTAAAATGAGAAATTTTCAATGAATAAATATATTATTTATTAATTTAATTTAATTTTATTGGAAGATATTTCCAATTAATGTAAAAGGAATTACTGGGAGCATAGTGGTGTTGGTGAACTGGTTAGGTGCTTGGGTTGTCTCTTTTACCTTCAATTTCTTCATGAGCTGGAGTTCTTCTGGTAATTTTTTTATTTATTTTTTATGAAATAATTTTTTTATTTATTTTTATTTTTTTAGTTGAAGACATAGAAACACGTTTGATAATTATTACCTAGTCGTTAATTTTTATTGAAAATAAAATAGAAAAATGATAATAAAATATTTAAAATTTTACTAAATGCTCATTTTTCAATTCAGAATACAGTTTTATTTCTAAATTTTGAATTTAGTTTTTATCATTAAAATTTTTACTATTTTACCTCTCAAATTTTACTGACACTTACTTTTGATCATTTACATTAAATTTCTATTGATTAAATTAGTTTTCACTAATTTTCTCTCACTACTTAAATTATTATTGCAACTATTCTACATCATAATTATTTTAAATTAATTAATTGGACATTAACGCTAAATACCTAAAAAAGAAAAAGAGAGAATTAGTAAAAATTCAAAAATAAAAATATAAAATCTTAAAACTATGTAACCAAGTTTAAAATTTAAAGGTAAAAATGTAATATTTTAAAAATTTATAGATGAAAATCCAATTCAAAACTTAAGGTTAAAAATATAATATTTTGAAATTTAATAATTAGGGACTAAAACAATAATAATAATAATAATTATTATTATTATTATAATAGAAAAAGGGTTTAAAACTGATTTCTAACATTATTTTTTCCTCTCTTTGTGGTTAATTTCAGGGACATTTTTCATTTATTCTCTAATATCTTTGATGACAATTTTATTCGTGGTCAAGTTGGTCCCAGAAACCAAAGGAAAAACCCTAGAAGAAATTCAAGCATCCATTGATTCCCAAAGGGACATTTAAGTAATTTTCACAGCAAAAAGTCTTATTTTATTTTATTTTATTTATAATTAGCATACTTTCACTTATAGAATTCACTTATAGAATTCAATTCAATTCTGCAAGTATTAACGCCTTTCTTCAATAATTTTTTTAAAAATAATTCCATATTTATTAAATTTTCAATTTAATTTGATGGGAAATCCTTTTTAATTACTTTATTAAATATTTTGAATATTATTAATTTATCTCATTACTTTATGTTGCCAAAAATTAGATATTTTGAACTAAAAATATAAGAATACTTTTAGGTAGTTTCGAAATACTCGATTTGGATTTGAATATTCCCACCCGTAATTGTCTTGGTTAAAAAATAATAAATTAATAAATAAATGAAAAATATTTTCAAATAAATAATCGATCACGCTCCTTAAAAAGAAGGAAGAAAATGAGCCTAATGGGTGGTGATGTGATTGAAAGCAAGCCTCCAATAATTCAACAGTAATAATTTCTTTTTTTTTTTCTTCTATTAATCTCGTTTATTATTATTACTATTAATTAATTAAATTTAATATTCGACTAATTTTAACTTTAAAAAGTGTTTTTAAAATGATAATGTAAGATAAAAAAAATTATATTACAAATTTTGAAAAAATAAAAATATTTTTTAAATAAATTAGAATTAGAAAAAAAAAAAAAAAAAAAAAAAAGCGGAATTTGACATTCTGCCTAGTGTTCACATTTGTGGACCCCAGATTCGATTGCCCACGTGGGCGAGTTTTCCTCTGTCTTCTCATTTGTTCCCCTCATGTTCTACTTTTTTCTATTTCCACCCTCCTTTTTCTTACTAATTAAATTTCTGACCCTTTTTTTGTAAAAAAAATATTTAAATTGTAATTATCAATAATGGCTTTTTATTTTTTCAAATAATGTATTAAATATGTTATTTCATATAATATTTCAGTTTGATCTAGAGGCATTTCCTAAAATGGGGAAATAAAAAATAAATTTGTTGTCTCGCCCTAAATCCAAAATAAAAAAAATTATGTAATGAAATATTATAATATTTTTATTTCATTTAAAAAAGAGTAAGTAACTAAAAATGAGAAAAATAATAAAAATTTCAAATGTCATTTTATTTTTTTAAAATTTGACTATTTAATTGAGACTAACACATTAATTTACTTTTTTGAGTCATAATTTTGCTTTATTATTGTTTTCATATAAATAAACACAATTAAAAAATAATTCCTTTATAAGTCTTCCAAATTTATTTTAAAAAAATGAAATAATGATTTTCTTTTTCTTTTTAAGGGAATAAAAATCTTATTACGGACTCCAGTGGATAAATATTGTCTTTTTTGTGGGTCCACTTATTGAAAATCCCAATAAATAATCATTAAAATAAATAAATAAAATTATGGAAAATACAAAAATAAAATAATGTTTTTATTCTTATTTTTCCCTTTTGGGTAATGAAATCAAACAAACCGGCTTTCATCCACGCCACAGCCGACAGTCTGAAAATAAAAATAATCATTTAATTTTTAAAAATTAAGTTCATAAATACTATTTATAAATTTATTTGTTTTCTTATTTTATTTTAAAATATATTTTCAAAATTTAATCTAAATTTTAAAACTAAAAGTGAGTTATTTTTTAAAAATATTTTTTAATTGAAATTCGATTAAGAGTTTAAATGTTTAATTAAACATAAAAACTATTATTAAAAAATTGTGGAAAAATAAACCGTTTAAAAATATCCATTATCCATTATCAATTTGTTTTTATTACTTTAAAAGTCCTTATTTTTTTTAAATTCATCCTAACTTTTAAAAAAAGTAATATTGATTTTTCTATAAGCATATACTTTTTTTAACAAAATAATATAAAGGGTTTTTTAAATTATCAAAAGTAATTTTAAAAAAAATCTTATTAAATAAAAAATGCTTAAAAATAAGATTAATTCAAAAACTTTTTGAAAGAAACACTTCAAGGAATTAATTATTGAACCATGATATGACTTTAAAGTGATTAATGGAATAAATCTTTAAATATTTATTTTTTTGTTAATTTATAAAATCGCTCTTCAACATAGTTAATCCAAACAATTTTTTTATTTATTTAAAATACTTTTGAATAAAATGTAATATTTTTAAAAATAAATATATATTTTAAAAAAATTTTAAATCGAATTGAACTAAAGTTAAAATAAATAAATAAATAATAATAATAGAGGCTTTGTCATATAAGCTAGGATCAAGTAATTGACTTTATTAAATAACAAAAAAAAAAAAAAAAAAGGACACTAATAAATAAAATATGATAAATAATTAATACTTCAAAAAGGAAAGGCAATTTTATTATTTTTTATTTTTTTTTATAGTAAGTCAAACCATTCCCATATTCCTCTCTTTTTGATAATCTTTGCAAAGTGGGTATTTGTGCCCATTTCTTTTTCTTTTTTATTTTTATAAGATAATCCAAAAATAAATAAATAAACAAATAATAAATAAAATCTAAATATAATTGGTTTAATATATTGGGATTCTTTTTAGTTCAATAATTCCATACTAAATCATCGGACTAAATTGTATCGACTTGGATTCATTCATAAATGTTTGTTTGCAAAGGTTTATCATCACTCATTCTTGTTTCTCTAAGTTAAAGAAACATTGAAAATGACACGAAACTAAAGTAATCAATCACGGTTTTCATACGAAAGCAGGCAAGTAACTGACCTGCTGATGGCATATGGAAATATCGAGGTGCGTTAAAGAATATATTGTTGCATCGAGTGACCGACTATTTTATGCAGCTACTCGTTAGCTAGTCCTAAAACTAGCTTTCACTCGTAAAGTCAGTGAAATTTCTATTAGGTTTATGTTTTTGGATATACTCTCGCTTTTTAGCTTTCACTAATAAAGTCGGTGAAATCTCTATTAGGTTTATGTTTTCGGGTATACTCTCGTTCTTTTCTACGAGCTCCCACTTGGTTCTTCTCCTTCATCGTCGTTGATCTTTTTTATTTAGGATTCCCGATCTTCTCTGGTCTGATAAAAGAGAAACCTATAATCAGTGACTAGTTTAACCGAGATGAGATTGAAGGAGCGAAAAGAAGTTTATAATTATTTATTGATATAAAGTAACAAAAAAATATGGAATCATTCTCGTCGTTTGTTGCCTGTCTCTTTGCACCTCAATAATTATTAAAAATAAAAATAAAAAAGAAAGAAAAATCAAAATTTACTTATTATTGTTATTATTTGTTTATTTATCCTTTACGAAATTCAGTTTCTTTGTCTCTTTCATCACAGCGATTTCTTTCGGTTACAGTCCGGAAACCGCCAATCCACTCAACTCTGTCTTTCTTCACTGCAACAATCTGCGCGCCGTTTTCATTTCACTTCGTCGTCTTCATCCTTTTGATCGTTGTTTTGCTTCTGAACCAAAGGTTGTTTTTGTTTTTGTTTTTGGTAGCTGCAAATTTTGTATGTTTCAGGAGCGACAATTGGTAATTTCTTGTGTAGATTTTCAGGGGGAGTGGTGAACGCAGAGGAAATGTTGCTGCAGAGGAATTTTTTGGTTGTTTTAGTGTTGATTGGAGTGGTTTTTGGAGCCAATTTGAGCGTTGTAAAGGCATTGCCACGACGAATTCTCTTGGACACAGATGTGAATACTGATGATTTATTTGCTCTTTTGTACCTCTTGAAGCTTAATCGATCGGAGTTTGAGTTGGAGGTAATCAGTAATCTCACTCAGTTAGTTCATTGTTTTAAGTTGTTCTGCGTTTAACTGATTTGGAGTTCATTATCTTACCATTTCTACCGGTTTCAAATCTCTTACACATTCTAAACTGTTATCTAATGTTGTTGTTTGCAAACGAATTAAGGTATGCTATTAAACAGGATTTTGAATTCTCTTCCATCCTCCCGAACAAACCTAACACAAAAATGGTAGTAGAGTTTACCTTTTTCGTTTTGAAGCTTGTAATTGAAGTTATTTGTCATTGGAGCCAAATGGACCTTCTCACACACGAATAATCAACTCAAGAGTTGAGATGTTCATATGCACTAGCTAAAATCTAGTCTTCAGATCAATGTGGAATAATTCAATGGTCACCTCTCGCACACTGGTCCTTGGGATCGATTTGATCATCGATTCGATCTCGTGTACGGTTGCAGAGTTGTTTTAACCTTGCGCTTTGCATTAAAATGAACATTTTCAACGTAGAAGCTAGCTTAAGCAGTGAGGGCTTTCTTTGTACTTTTAAACAAATGTTCAATCCTTTAACACAATAGTTTAGAATTCCTCTGGTCCTTCTACCAAAGCAAAATAACCGCAACCAGTTATTTCATTGTTTTACCAAGGCATGGTTGGTTGGAGGAACCTGAAAAATATTACCACTATTTATTTTCTTCAACACGTCATTGCTGAAGCAAATTAATGAAAGAACATTCATTACATGTTGAAGTAGTTGAATGTCCAAAACTGTGTGTGTGTGTGTGTTGTTTAACTGTGTCCTTGGTAAGTATACCTTCCCTTCTAGTTTGATGGAGCCTGCCGCCAACAGTATGATTCAGAAATAGGGAACTTAATGCATGTAGTTTGTAGACTGGTTGCTATTCTTGTCATCAGGATTGTTATTACATTGCTGCAGGCAATCACTATTAGCGCAAATGCTTGGACAAGTGCTGGACATGCAGTGAACCAAATCTATGATATTCTTTACATGATGGGCCGCGATGATATTGCGGTTGGAATTGGAGGAGAAGGTGGAATACTCGATGATGGAACAATTCAACCCAACGTTGGTGGATATATTTCCATAATTGACCAGGTTAGAATACATTTCTTTCGTTGCAGCAAGACATTTCCTTTGTTTACAGACAACAATGACTGCTAGGCTCATTGCTAAGAACTATGCTGTCATGTTCTTATGACAGTCAAATATAGTTTTCTAATGAACAATGAATCTACAGATTCAGAAAATTTTATTCCATACACAAACCAAAGAGTCCATATGTTGCATGCCAAAGTGAATGTTAATGATATCAGGGATTGACGACTACAGGCGGATGTAGATATAGACAAGCCATTCCCCTTGGTATTAGAG